CCTATGGTAACTGGGGCTCCCTTCGAGCCCGCAAGCAGCCCAAATAATACTGGTCTAGTTAGGCTCCTGGACGAAAGCCAGGCTGCCACCGCAGAGCCCCTAGGGTTCTTAGCTCCAGCTGCCTCTTCTGTTTTTGTCTTCCGAGGGGCATCCTTAAAATAGGGGTCTTCATGGTGACCGCTTCAGCCAGCAAGGTTGACTTCCCCCTCCCTCCCTCCCAGCATTATCTTCCTGGGGCTGTAAAAGCCCTGGGAGATTGTGCTGCCATGGCGTTGACAGGGACATCTTGTTTGTTGTTAGAAATAAGAGCCAGTGTCTCCAGGGCACACCTTACTCTGTTGCCTTGAATGGGAGGTGTCCTCCCAGCAGCCACAAGCCAAAGGGCAGTGGGACTGGCTGGTGGCGTCCCGCTGTGTGCTCTGACCAAATATTATCTGAGTTGCATTGGGGGTGTGGTCTGGGGCAAATCAGGTGAGTGTTGGTCAGCGCCTGTGCATCATCCTTGCACCCTTTTTTTTCTTTTTCACAAAATGCCACTTGCCTCATTCAGGTAACTGGCTTTACTTGAGCTATTCACCTTGAAAGCCAGAGATGCCAGGGGGTGCACACTGAATGATACCAAGTGGCGAAGGCCAGAACCCTCCCTGCCATTTCTGCAGGAGCCTCAGCCGGTCTGCTGTCCCTCTGCTAGGCCAATGAGTGTGACTAGTGGAAACAGAAAGGATTTTCTTCCTTCCTTTTGTCTGATGACAACTGACTGTGCTTTAGTGAGGCCAGCGAGCTGCCTGCAAGTCCAGGCTTCTTGACATTCAGGTGTCTCTGCAGACAATGAGCTGTTAAAGAGTCACTCTAACATTGTGTCTAAAAGTGTCTGTAAAAGTTTCTCAAGCCATTCATTATTTAGCTAATTCTGGCCACATGCTTCCAAGCTGCCCTAAAAATAGAAAACCCCCTTCCCATCTAGTCAGCACTGGTGAATGTGCTTGGAAGGAAGCCGCAGACGGGGAAGTTGCATTTAATGGTTTAGTGGGAAAGCAAAGGTTATGTTTCTGGCTTAGTCTTAGAATTAAGTTATTTATGTTGCTTTGTAATAGACAAAGGTCTAGTCATGCGCTGTCTTTCCTCTTCACTTTTTCTGTAGCTTATGTTCTAATTCCTTGAGAAATTCGAAGTATCATTTGTCTTGAGAAATTCGAAGTATCATTTTCTTGGACAGCACTACTTCATTATTTCTAGGATACGACCCCAGGCAATTGGTTTGCATTGACTGTCATTGAGTGGCTTTTAAACTTCGGAGGGTAGCACTCAAAAAGTAATTCGTTTTAGATCACAACTTAGTAAACCTATTCATAGAAGTATGTTACTAAAAAAATTTCCTAAAGCAGTGTTTTAATTTCACTTGAGGTACTAGTAGTTTTATTTTGATATATTTAATTAAAAAAAAATGTTTATGAATTGCCCGTAGGTTACAGTTCACAGGTTAGCAAATACTGCATTAGAACATAGCTCCGGAATGACACGTGTGTCATTTTGCCTTCTGACAATTGCTTGGGTTTTTTTGTTTGTTTGTTTTTGATACCACTCCTGCTGGTATTTGTAACCTCATAAATGCCTGTGGGATGCCAGTTTTACCTGCAGGCACCCTTGCTGCCTTCCACTGCTTCCCTTCCATACAGCCCTCCTGCTCTCCCTTCCTGCTTCAGTGTGACATCATCTCTAAGCCTGCCTGACCAGGGTCTCCTTGGCAGGTAGCGTGGAGTCAGCAGCCCTCCAGTACAGTTCTAACCTAAAGATCAGAAGTCTGTGTTGTCTCTTGTATGAATGCATGTGTTCTCTGAGAAATCGAGTCACATTTATTCTGGAAGGACAGTGAAACCTGGCATCTGTGCCCTTGTGGCCACTCTGCCCGTATACTCACAGGGAACCTTGGGAGCGTCACCAGGGCCTCCATATGTTTTTACTGGAGCTGCCGTGATTGACAGTCCCAAGGCTTCCCGGTGCCACAGTTGGGGGCAGCGTACCTCTCCATGACCGTGGCACACACTTGTCCCCCTCCTTCCTATTGAAAAGGGAATAGTTATTCTTATGGGGGGAGGGTCAATTCTGAATGTAGTGAATCATCATTTAAAGAGTGAGCTCTAAGAGTGACAGTGCATAACAGATTTATTTCACTTTTTCTATAATGGAATATAGTTTCCTGTTTCACCTTATAAGACATATTTCAAGGGTTCTGTGTTGCATTGCAATTACATTGGAAAAAAATCTGCTGGTCTGTAAGAAGAAAGCATGGGCAATTTTGGTCCTAGCTGCTTATTTTCAGCCTCAAGAATGCCACCACAAAGTAATTGAAGTTGACATTGGCCAGTTTATTTACCACTTCAAAATAAGTACAAGAAATGTCAATATTCACCGTATGAGTTGAAACTAATTTGGTTGTTGAAGGTTCTTATAGTTAACATGAGATTTGTTGGAAGTAATTTTTTCATGGAAATTATTAAAAATGCTTTTTTTTTTTTTTTTACTGTGTTGGTATAAGATGTCGTCCTTTGCAGTAATGACTCAGGATGTTGTGATAGGGCCTCTAAAGTCTCTCTGGAACCCCCAATACATCACACACCCCTGACTTCTCACCTCAACATATGGCCACTATAGGTTCTCTGGTGCCTTACTAGATGCTTCATAGGCACTAGAGACACATTTTATAATCTGTGTCATATCATTAACCAAAATATTTTACATGGCCTGAAATGTCATAAATTTGGCAACAGTGAGATGCATGGAAACCTAGATCTCAACCAACTCCATGTCCCTTTGAAATTTCTATTTAAGCCTGTTTAGCCCAAAAGTAAGAGCCTTGTGTTGTGTTGACTTGCATCGTGAGGCGGCTGCTTCTCTGGCTGTTTTAGAAATTGGGTTTTACGTGTCATGGGAGAACTTGATACAGTACCAGCGGTGGCCTGGCTCGACCGCGAGGCTCTTAGGGATTCTATAAATTGTTTCCTTTGAGGAAAGGAGCAGGGTTGGAACAGGACGTGGTGTTAAAGATAACATAGCAAATGGACATTTCAACAGAACTGCCTCGCCCCCGCAAAGTCTTGTAAAACGGTGCTATCATTAGACTCCCGCTCATCCACACTGTCGAGAGCCAACATCCCACTGAGAAGCCTGGAGCCGCCGGTCACGGAGAGGGTATTAGCTAAGAGCCTGCACTCTGGTCCCGCCCAGGTAGGGAGCTCGGGCAGCTCACAGTCCTCGCTGAATCTGGCCTCCCCATCTGCAGTAATAATAGGGCCCACTCTCTCGATGGCGGTGAGGATCAGACGGGGCCTTGCACACTGCTGGCTGCGCTGCTGTAGCGCCGTGTGGCAGGCGCCTGTCTTTCACTGTCTGGGCAAAGCTGAACTCACTAGGTTGGTTTAAAACTCTGACAGCTCCCTAGCAAAACAACAGAGGCAGATAAATGTTTTGTGACTTTTTGTTAGAATGTACTTAATGAATGACTGATGGGTAGCACCCCAAATCCACATGCTTTGCCTTTGGGGCATCAGCACCAGTGGGAGGAGAGGAAGCAGCAACAGCATGCCAGTCACCATGAATGGACACACCCTTGATGTCAGTAGTCCCCACGTTTCTGGTTTTTCTGATTCATAGTTAACTGACATGTGTATTAGCCTTGTAAGGGTAAGGAAATTGGCTTATTGAGGAGAGGCATGCTTGCTCACGCTTTGAAGAGCAAAGACGTCTTTTCCAGGGCCATCTGCTGACCACTTCTTTGCTAGATACACAACATTTATTGGCATGTTCTGTAGCCTTTCGCTGGATGAGGTTTATCATGTTGGATTGTGATAGCTACAGCCAACAAAACAAAAGAAAGGAGAATAATCTCCTTGTCAGGGTTCGTTGGGTCTGGTGCTTCCAGCACACCACTCAGTGGTCACTTTGATTTTTCTCTACCCTTCATGCATGGTGCAGAGGACACAGGTAGTTCTCTCGCTAATCAAATCCTAAGCCTGTAGGAAATCATTTCAATAAATCTTGTTTATATTTACCTGCTGCTGCTTTTTCAAGTGTAAGAAGAGTTTTCCAAGTACCTTTGAAAAGTAGTTTGTATAAATTCAAAACTTTCATAGTAATTTAGTCATAAGTGTTGATTCTGGGATTTGGGGTTTAGAGGTCTGGATTCGCTTTTGGACTTTTCCTCAAGCTAGCTGTGGGTGTGGGTCTGATTTTACTAAAGAACTTTCCAGCATTGGGCCTCCCTGGTAGTACAAGGGGTTAAGTCTCAGCACTATGAAGCAGCAGCAGCCACTGCAGCATGAGTTCAATCCCTGACCAGGGAACTACCCACATGGCGCAGCAGACCAGTCTCCTGTCTCACCTGCTACTCCCCTCAGCAGTGTATCTCAGTCAGTCTGCCTGTTTTGTTTACCACTTTGTCTCTGGTGAATCCTCTTATACACAAACACACACACACACACACACACTCCGCACCTCTGGCCTACACCCCAGCTTTTATATGCATAAATAAATTTTTTAAAAAAAAGAACTTTCCAGCCTTTTGGCATTTTGAGGGCAGTAGAAGCAACAGCATGTTTTCTTATTGAGCAACGGAAGTTGTCATACCTAATTTACACCCCTGCTCATTCAAAGGTTGAGGCTCTGACACAAGCACTCCAACAGCAGGACACAGTGTCAACTTGACCTCTCAGATGCCCTGTGGCTGGTGACCCTTGAACCTGACTTATGACTTCCCAGAACCTGAGAGGGAACTTCTGAGCTCTTCCTAGTAGGCTTCTTCTGAGTCTCTTTTAAATGCAAATGATGCTGGCATATGGGACCAGGGCATCACACTGACTCTGCCTTGTCTGAACCTTCTGCCTTTGACCCCAGAGCACACCAGTGTCAGGCTTTGACCTTTGCTCTCTTGGTAAAGAAATGTTCTTAAGAATGCTGACACCTGTGAATCACGGAGACACTGACTCTTGCTCTCTTCTTAACAGACGCGAGACGACTTCCTGGGCCAGGTGGACGTGCCCCTCAGTCACCTCCCGGTAAGTTCAGCCCCACTCTTCACTCCACGAGGGCTTCTATTTGTTTGCAGTGGGTGTATTTTCAGGGTGTATTTTCTCCACAGGACAGGGACGGGTGAAAGGAAGAGCGTGTCCGTCCTGACCTCCATTCTGCAGGTGGTGCAAGGAGGTGCTGAATTGACTCAGCCACACCTGAGTTTTACGTTCACGTATTCCTGTCTGCACCACCCGCTCCTTTATCTTGTGCTCTGTAGCTGGTCTTCCTTATGTCAGTGGAATGTATTTGCTTTGAAATCCATCCTTTGGGACTAATCAAATGTGCATTTCCTTTGTCTGGAATTGCTGTTTGTCTTGTGTGATCCCAGATCTTGGTGACAGCACAGAAACAAAAAAGATGTGGTTCTGAGTGAAGTCTGCTAGCTCACCCACTCTGGCTTCAGAAATGGCCCTGAGTTAGCCCGTGTGGTGTGGCTGCCATCTCGGGGCATTGACGCGTCACTGAGGGTAGCCATGTTGCCTCATGTGCTCCAGAAGACGATGCAGATAGAATGTGAGGGCAGGACCAGGAGGCCTTGGTGGGACGTACTTCATTGTGTAGTCCAGCTTTGGTTGTCCAGATTGCTCTCCCTACCTCCCCTTTCTTTTCCTGAACCACACAAAGTGACTTAAGTAGCAGCTAAGAGAGGATAAGTCAAATGTTTTTGCTTTCGAGGGTGCTGCTTATCTTTTTAATGCTTTGCATTAAAAAAAAATAGTATAATCTATTAACTAAAATGATTTAAACTCCCGGTAAGCTTATTGCTGTTTAGAAACTGTGGGTCTTGCCATATGCTTAAATATCAGGAAAGATGGTGTCTTACCCAGGAAGCTTTGAAGATAAGTTGTGAAAGCATTTGATAGCAGGAAATTTCTCTTTCTTACTCAGGGAAGCTCTTAAGGGAGAAAGGTTTCAAGTGCATTCCCTTCCAAATGATTAGAAGCAAAAGTGATAGCATTGAAGTATTTTTATTTGTTTCAATATAAAAACCTGAAGCTTGAGGTCTTGGGGAGGGAGAGAGAGAGAGAGAGAGAGAGAGAGAGAGAGAGAGAGAGAGAGAGAGAGAGAGTGTGTGTGTGTGTGTGTGTGTGTGTGCGCGCGCGCCGTGCATGTGCATGTGTGCATGTAGGGCACCAAATCCATAAGCCTCAGATGCTGGTTATTCCTTTAAAGTCACATTCAGAAAATTTGCCTTAGTATTTGTGAGGAAAATCTCTTAGGCTCTTCGGCCTCAGTAGCTTTTCTCTTTATGCTCTTTAGATGGAAACTTTAGACCATATGGTTGACCATTTCTTTCGTGGATGTCACCAGCCACCCTTTTCCCCAATATAAAATGCACAACTCTGTTATGGCAAATAATGTGCTGATACTCTATAGGAGGTATAAGTGAAATTTTATTACAACTCACCCCACCAGTCCCTTCTCTGAGTGATTGGAAGGCTGGGTGGGACTCCTGGAGAAAAGAATGTTTCTTTTCAGAGACAGGCTGATAGAAGGACTAGTTCAACTTTGCATTTACATGGAGACAAGAGTGAGCTTTCAAAGAAGGAAGCGGTGCCAAGGCTCAGAGCTAGAATAGAAACCAGCCGATTAAAGAATAGGACAGAAAGCCTGGAGAGGACTGGATATATCTGCGTGAGCTAAGCCGGTTGAGTAATCGAGCCTTCCAATTTTGTATCTGCCCAAAGATAGCTTACAGTGGAGTGCCATCAAGTCCATACTTTAAGTTGACTAGCCTTGTGAAACCAAATGTAATCAGAGAGAGAGCCCATAAGGGAAGCAAAAGGAGGAAGAAGGATGAAGGTGCAATCTTTATTTTCCACACAATGCTGGAATCTACTAACTTATTCCAAATGTGCATGGCCTTTGGGCCCATAAGGTGTTCCCAGGTATAGTTGATCAACAGGAAATATATGATCATAAATGAACATAAATATATGTTCCCAGATATATTTGATCAATCCTGGGAAAACGGCAGCCTCAGGGTCATATGTGGATATGTAAAATGAATGTTATTTGCATAATATTTTGTGGTGCAAATGATGAATGTTCTTTTTTTTGAGAGCTACATGGCCATTGTCAATGCAGATTATATATGACCTGTGGATTCAATCCTTGTCAAATCACCAAATTTTAGATAGAGGAAAATGGTCTCATTGGTAATGAAGGAAAATAATGGGAAGTGGTAATGTAGTGGGTGGTTAAGTTGCCTTTGCCACCAGCCTCCCTCCACCCCCACCCAGCCTTCTCAAGTCTTAGGAATCTAGTTGGGTGTTTGATTATTAATGAATTCTATGCAGCACCTCTTGCTGATAGAGAATTCATTCCTGCATAGATATTTGCTGAAAGACATGATTCTAATTTCTAAGGAACATCAGGGGAGGAAGTTCCTCACTTATGTAGCTTAACATGCTACCTAGTACAGTAGCTTAACGTGCCACCTAGTACAGTAGCCACATGTGGTGGTTGAATATTTGAAATCTGACTGCTGTGACTGAGGAACTGAATCTATAATTTTAGTCTTCATATATGAGCTGTATAGAACTAGAAAGAAACAGCCTCAAGTTGGAGAAAGCACTGAATGGAAAGTCACCAAATACAGCAGTGCCCTCTTAGCCACTTCCAAGATTCCCAGTGGATGCCTGAAACCATGGGTGGCGCTGAATCCTGTAGACTACACATATATACATAACCTCTGAGAAAGACCCAAGATTAAGACACAGAAATTTATAATCACAAAGTCTGCAGCATTCACTCCATCAGGCATTGTTGACTCCAATCTCATGGAAGGGAGAGTTGCTTTGCTAACTGGAATAAGTCAGTCTTCCTTTCTGGGTCTCTGTCTCCCCACCTGTCAAATGAAGGCATTTGCATAGATGACACCAAGCGTCCATCAGCTCTGTGATCAGCGTCTTAACTGTTCCATGACATGTCCAAGCAGAGGCACCAAGGACCTTGATGATACAGTATTACCTGGGAAACGTGGGCAGCAGTACCTGCTTAGGGGCAGGTGGACAAGATGAGGGACTGATTTAGGAAGGTGGTTGTTATGCTACCAGCCTGATGTCTGTACAGCAGCTGAAACATAGCTCTTCGGTCTCATTCTTGTATGTTGGGGCACCAAGAATAAACTTAACTGTAGCTGTTATTACTGTTGATTTTAAAAAAAATTAAAAATTATGAATTTGGTTTTGTTTGTTAAATGCAGTCAATCCTTGCCTGCAAGCTCATACAATATTTTATGGCTCATCTCTACTAATTCTTTAGAGACAAAAATAATCCCCAGGCTTGTGTTAGCTACAGCATGACAGTTCTGGCAGGTGTTGGCCTATTGTGCCCCTGAAATTTTTCTTGCCTCTTCTCTTGCCAGTTGGTCCCTAGCACATGCCCACCCCTGCCCAGCTACATGATCTCTGCATCCCTGGGAAATGCTTTCAGCAGAGAGTTGTTTAAAAACCATTGATGTTTCTGTTGTAGACAAGTGCTTGTCAGAGCCATCAAGGGTGACTGTAGAGTTGTCTCTCTGCTTCAGGAAGACCTTGCTGAGTGCCGTGGTGTTTGGGTCTGTGACTGTGCTTGCAAGTGACTCAGATGATGAGCCCCACTTTGATATTGATGACTGCGAGCCAGGGTCCTCCTTCCCTCTCGTACAGGTGCACTATCTTAGAGTTTAGAGGGATGCTAGAGACCATTTGTTCACTCCCTGTATATTACAGGTGAGGACTTCCGGACCTAAAGATAGGCAAGTCGGTAGCAGTGCTGGGCCAGGCTTTAGGTCTCCAGCATCCATCTGTGATGTGGTCCAGGGCCTGGGAGTGGGCTCAGCCTGCAGCTTTCGGCTAGTGGCCTCCAGGTTTGGGGGCTAGTGTTCTGCTAAGGCTAGCCACCTCTGTTTGTTGCAAAACTACTTCTCTCTATGTGTGTCATAGTGGCTGTATTCTACTGAATGCCCTTTATATTTTTAAGATAAAAGCATTGGTCATCTTCAAGAATTTCTTCTGAAGTCTCATGCCCTGGGACAGGAGGCAGCAGCAGTCATTTGGGCCAAAAGCACTGTAGCATCAGTCTGTCTGGGAAACTTTCTACCAGGAGCTCCTAGTATCCTCATGCATGTCTTTACTTGGCTTTTGTCCACAGACTATGATCAAATTGAAATCTAGATTTTGCCAAGGAGAAAATCCCATAGTTATCCTCAAGATCATAACCTCATTCAGGCTAGAGAATTTCTGTGCAGGTGAATTTTCACTTTGGAATGTCCTGTCCTATTGCACAGCATTGAGCTGGCAATATCACAAAGTTCTCAAAAATGTCCAGTTGGCTGACGATGTTAAGGACCAACATTTGTGCCAGGTCTTTATACCAATTCAACTGATTGGTTTAATCCAACAACAACCCTGTGAGTAAGATGCTCTTCTGCTCCTTTTATAGATGAGGACGCTGGGGCACAGAGTTGCAGGAAGTTGGCCACATGGTTCTGTAAGCAATGAAGGCAGGACGCAGACCGAGGACTCTGCCTCTTGTTCTGTGTGGTGTTTGTCTTTTAAACTACATCATGTGTGGACAGTTTCTGAGCTCTAAGCTCTGTGGTTTTCTCTGTTCACTCTCTCTCTCGCAGCTTCTGCTATGCCTCAGTTCCTCCTGACCCAATAGCTTTGCTTGTGCTGTATGATTCCTTAGCTTGACCTACCTTCCTCCCAATGTTCCACCTGTCAAGGCTTCCCCACTCAGCTCAGATTGGACCCTGAGCTATCCAAAACCCATTTTGAGCCCCATATCAGAAACAGTCTTCCCTAAGTCGCTCTGGATGTGACCTCTCTGTGTCACCTGAACTTGTTCTGCCTTCAATTCTGGTTATTTGTTGACCTGATGGTCCCTCCTACATAGTTTTGACCCTAAGGGTCAGTACCCTGTGGTATTCCACATAACTTCCACGTGGGTAGTGTTTTGAAATTATTTGTTGATTGAGTAAACGAAAAAAGAAATACCAGCAATATATTCTTGATTAATAAATTTACCATTATAGGTGATGTATATTTGGAAACTTTGCTTTGGAAAATATTTCCAAAATGTCCAAGTCGACTACCTGAATGAGCACCATCCAATGAACATAATTGTCTTACTCCAGTGATGAATTTTCATGGCCTCAGTAGTTTTCTGTAGACAAGATGAATTAATCAGCTACTTGTTCAAGTACCTACTTTGTACCAGACCATGTTCTTGGCAGCAGTGATACAATAGTGAACAAATCCAAGTCTCTGATTTAAAAGCATGCATTTTAGAAGTGATTGATGATAAACTAGTAAATAAATGAACAAGTTAAGCGAGACAGTGAAGGGTGGATAAATCAGGATGCTGTGACAAATGGTGATTAGGGAGAGGCGAATGGTGGTGACTTAAGATAAGATCTCTCTGAGGTCAGAAGTGTGATCTGGGATCTCAGGCCCAAATGCGAGGTGGAGATAGCTGGGGCATCTGGAGGGAGAGCTGTCCAGCAGAAGACCTGCTAGGACAGGATTAAATATAATGTACTCATAGGACAGAGGAAGCCAGAATAGTTGCAATAAGGGGTGACTGGAGAGACTGCTTTATGGCAAGGTTAAAAATAATGAAGAGCTAGAGCATGTTTGACTTCGCAGGCCGTAGGAAAGAATTGGCACTGTGTTACTTGGAGAGTAGGAAGCAGCAGGGAGTTTACAGCAGGGTATGACATAAACAGATAAGGTTTCAAATACAAACACATACATGCACACACACACACACATGTGCCTCTGTGATAGGGCAACTCATTTTATAGTGGTTTGTCTCTCTTGCTAGACAAGTATATATTATAGTTTACATTATGTTTAATTGAAGAATTCAGGTATTTGAGCATTTGCTATACACCATATTTAAAAATTAATTAATGACATTTTTTCCAACTTCTGCTTTTGCACAATAAATTGAAGACTGGTTTTTTATTTTTCTTCAAAGATTTATTTATTTATACATACAAGAAGTAGGGTAGAGGCCAGAGATGCGGGGGGTGAGAGGATTCACCAGCGACAGAGTGGGGAACAGATAGGCAGATCGACTGAAGTACACTGCTGAGGGGAGCAGCGGGCAAGTCAGGAGAGATCTGCTGCACCATGTAGGTAGCTCCCTGGCCGGGGATCGAACTCGTGCTGCAGAGGCTGCGGATAGCTTCGTAGGTTGCGTCTTTATCCCTTGTGCCACCAGGGAGGCCCCCTGAAGACTGGTGTTTTAAAGGAACAGCTATCACAGGTGCATTCCTAATTTCATGAATAAGCTCTGGAAACGGCCTAGATATGGGGTGATCTCTGTGAAGATAACCTTTCTATTCTTTTATGCTGGTAACATGATACTTTAATGTTAAAAATAAAGTCAAATTCCTTTCCTAGATTAGATTGCACGTATTTTCCTGTTAGCTTCACTTTCAGGTTTTTGAGTCACACGGTCAAGAAGGCACCATGACCCCTGATTCTCCCTAGTTAATCCCTGGTGGGAGATGGAGGCCTGCACCCCGCAGTTAGAAATTACACTTGGCAATGATGACTGTAATTTTGTCATTTGTGTAAGTCTGGGGTTGGCTCCAAAGACGGACGTTGATAGTGACATCTAGTGGATCTTGAGTCAATAAAGCCCTGTGACCTTTACGAGGTTTAATTAATTAATTCTCAAGTAGTGGTTCAAGAGCCAACTGTTTCACTATTCCTACATTCTAAAACATGAAAATATTTCCCCTCTAATCCAGTTTGGGTTCTCTAAAATATGACTCTCAGGCGTATTGAAACTTCACTTACTTTTTCTTCCCTGTAGACAGAAGATCCGACCATGGAGCGACCCTATACATTTAAGGATTTTCTTCTCAGACCAAGAAGGTGAGCATTGGAGATGTTGGTAACCTGTGTGCTTGCTTATTGGTTTCCCCTGAGGAAGATATCAAGTTCTGTTCCTGTTTCATATTTTAAAAAAGTCATCCCAGATGCAAAAGGTGTAACCAAATCCTATCCTTGATATCTCATTTTCTTCCATCTTGTAGTCATAAATCTCGAGTTAAGGGATTTTTGCGATTGAAAATGGCCTACATGCCGAAAAATGGAGGTCAAGATGAAGAAAATAGTGAGCAGAGGGAAGACATGGAGGTGAGTCATGGAGCTTTAGACCTTGGTCTGTCTGCCTCGCCCATGATCATATTTATATTTTACTTGAAGCCTTTACAATCAAAGGAAATTAAAGTTTATAAAGCTTAAGCATGAAAAATCTTACATGTGTTCATAGATCTGTCTTTGATAATTAACCCATGAATTTTAGTACAAAAGATGAACTTTTCATTGTATATGACAACACTAATAATTGGAGAAATTTCTGCTTATAAAATGCATTCCCCATATTTTATGATTTTATCAATAGACCCAACCCTCTGTGAAGTTCTCTTTGTATTTAATTCTCTTATTTCCTTGAACTCTATAGCCCTTTGTACATTTCTTTTAGTCCTTGGAATTGTTTCCAAGAATTAAAATGACTTTGAAAATCTTTTTCAAATTTCTTCTGCCTTTGGCCCATAGGCGATAGCATTAATTTAGGAATTAGATCTCTAGAGGCATTTTCTTTTTTCCCTCTTGACGCAGCTGCCTTTGAACATTCTGGTCACAGGACTCTACCAGTCCCGAGTACCTGGGAGGCTCGTGCTTCAGACTATGCTGTTTTGTTAGGCAAATCCTCACATTGTTCTGAAAATTTCCAAGAGGCCCATCTGCCCATAGCACGTCATTCTCTGTATGGCTGTAGGCACATCTGTTTGCAGCTGTTGCAGATGCATGATATGTGAATAATGTGTTGTGGGCAAGCTCACCAAACCCCCGCTGGCCCCACGGTCCTGTTTCCAGGCAGGACGTCATCTGTGCACTTTCATCTCCATGTATTGAGAGCAATGAAGTGGGTGGTAGACAGTTGCGAATGTTGGGTTTCATAAGCACATCAACAGATTTTTATCTCCAGTCCAAGGAATTTTGTACACTCTGCTATTCTTCCAACTGCACTAACCAGTGAATTACTTAATTTTCCAGTGACTTTACTGGGGATGTTAAGAAGAAATACTTAATGCTTAAAATATGCGTTGCAAAAATGTAACTCTAGCTGGTACCATGAAGTCTGTTGATGGGGTGGCTGCAAGTGAGAGGCACCCAAATGGAAAGCAGCAGTTCCAGACTTCTGATTCTTGTGATTTACTAGATGCAAGGTGGGAGGGAGTCGTCCGTCTTCCCATAGCAACCTCAGGGCCTCCTCCCTGGGGAGTGCTCCTGACCACTTGTGCCGAGCCTTCTCTGAGAACACACGTGCAGTCAGGCTCATCTGCCCAGCTCCCCGTTACCTTCGGGGATGTTGAAAAGGCGACAGCTGTGACATGACCCATGTCATCAGTCTGGCTTGGTACAGCGTGGGCAGCCTTCGGTCAAAAAATGGAACTCGAAATAAGAAGACTGCAGTGTGACTCAGTGACCTAACACTGTCCGTAGCCAAGTTGTGTTATTCCCTACAACGTGGGGCACTTAATTGGCCATTACTCAAAGGATTTTTTGAGTATTTTTTGATTCTTCTAGAATTGATTTCTGTGCCCTTTTGGGGGAATTTCTTCAAAGGTGGCACATGAAGCCAGGCCCAAGCCAGCGTGCAAGGGAGCAAGGAGGGCGGGGAGGACCTGGTAACTGTCTCTTCCTTGGGTCTGAGGACCGGCCTCATCACCTTCCTCTTCCCTTATCCCACAGCATGGCTGGGATGTGGTTGACTCCAACGACTCGGCTTCTCAGCACCAGGAGGAGCTTCCACCTCCACCTCTGCCCCCTGGCTGGGAAGAAAAGGTGGACAATTTAGGTCGTACTTACTACGTCAACCACAACAACCGGACCACTCAGTGGCACCGCCCAAGCCTGATGTGAGTGCTTATGGGGGGACGGGCAGCTCGGTCATAGCCACTCTGGGGGGCCCGGTGGGGGGATGGACTCCTCGACAGAGCCTGTGGTGGTGGAGGCCAACAGGACGCACCTGCACTTCATTTAAGAGAACAGGAGCCCATCAGAATTCAAGGATTCTAAAGAAGCAGCTCCTGCCCAGTATCAGAGCCTGCTATTTTAAATATGAACTCATTTTTTTTATGTCTTTATGTAGATTCATGAAATATCAACTGGATGTTACTTTTCCTAGATTTACCTTAGGTGCATGACTGTATCACCGCCCTCCTTAGCATCCTCTCCTGACTCACCCAAAATAGAAAACAGCAAGTAGCTTTGGCTGTGCAGTTTTCTCTCTTCTCAAAGTTTTTGGATTTTCACGCCCATTAGTTATTTGATTTGGAAATTCTCTCAAATTTTTTTTTTCCTTTTTGGGAAATTTATATATCATCCCCTTGATATAATTAGGAGCACATGGGAGGGTTGCAAACTCAGAATTACTAATTACTGTTTATTCTAATCCCTCCCCAGCCTCAGGGATGCAATGAACTGATTACTGTTTTGTTCACTCGGCAATTTTTGGTTTGATGACAGCAAATAAGCACTCGCTAAACCCCAGCTACTATAAAAGAGGATTTGAAGCAGCTTGTTTTTAATAGTATACGGCAAGACCTAGAGCTATTAATACATCACAAAAAGGAAAACCAAACTATCAAAAGAAGGAAAGGAAAAATCATCCCAGAACTCATGAGCTCCCTAGCAGCCAAGACAAGGAGTTAATTATCACTGAATTGTCATTGTCAGTATGTAATGAAAGCAAGTATATTGAGTTCATTTTCTTTTGAACACAGAGTCTGAAAGGAACTTGCTTGTGGTGATGTGGTACGACGTTGCTTTCAGTAATGCTTTCTTGTTTTTTACAATATTATACATTTGATTGACATGAGGAAGATGTCCAGGAAGCCTGGTCTAGGTTTTGTTTCGTTCCTTGGGAGAAAGCGCTCAGACAGCAACCACTGGCCAGTCCTTCCTAAGCCTCCATATTGGTTCTCATGAATATGACTGCCTTGGTCAGCTTGGACATCTGCTCGTAGCTCCCAAGCCCACACACATATATCTGAACATCTGGATGATATTGAACTCTTTTTTATGGCAGTTTGTTGCCCACAGACCTCAGTGGGACCTGGTTTTGTGAATTCTTTTTTTTTACTTTCCCCCTTTGATTTAATGGCCATAGCTAGTAGGGCTACAGTAAGCCATTTATTCTATATTTTTAAAAATAAGAGTCTCAGTGATGCTACCCTACGCAGAGTGCCATTATCTGCCTTTGTTAAGCACAGGAAGGGAGCACCCAACATGGCACTCTGTGGGGACCAGAGAGTCACGTGGCCTCTGTAGAAAAGTAGCCACTAGCAGCTCACAAAGAGGCACTGATATTAATGTAGGTGTGGAAAATGTTCACCTTCATTTATGATTCTGCAGATTATATAGATTATTATAGTAACTTTACATATGACTATATAATACATGAATAATATAATTATATAATTATGCAGATTATATAATAATTATATTTTGGGGACATGGGAATAACTCCTATTTTTTTTTCCTACCTCACAGAGTTGTGAAATTCTAAGGAAACACTTGATACATTTTTTTTTAAGATTTATTTATTTATGCATACAAGAGCTAGGGTACAGGTCAGAGACGCGGGGTTAGGGGGCGGGGGTGAGAGGATTCACCACAGACAGAGTGGGGAGCAGAACAGGCAAATGTATTGAAATACACTGTTGAGGGGAGCAGCGGGGAGACGGGAGAGGTCTGCTTCGCCACATGGGCTGCTCCCTGGCCAGCCGGGGATCGAACTCGTGCTGCAGAGGCTGTGGTTTGCTTCATAGTGAGGTGCTTAACCCCTTGCACCACCAGGGAGGCCCCTTGATACATTTTTTTTTAACAGACCAGGCAGTGTCCCAGGGAACTAGAGCAAAACTGAAGATATGACTTGTATAATGCTGGCTCATTAGTAATCCAGGAGCAACTTGGGGAAATTGTGGTTCTTTATTCAAGTTCAGGTGTACTTGAGACAGAAGTCAGTGGCGTGATTGTCTCATCAGCGAGGCCCGAGTGAACTCGGCTGTCCACATTCTGGGTGGACTGTGAGGCATGCCTCCTTTTCAACAAGCACGACTTCTAGAAAGCAGGAAAATTCAGTTCAGGGAACAAACTCTGATTCCATAGTCATCTCATAATCCCTCGTGAACTGTTTAAGAGTTTGGAGAGATGCTTCCTCCAGGTTGTTTTGACTAGAAGTCCTCAAGCCTCCCTGAATCATTTTTAAAAATTGTAGTAATATTTTAAAGGTTTGTTTTGGAAATTCAGCTTTTTGGTGATTTAGCTGCTGCACTCTCTGGAAAATAGATATTAGGAAGTATTTCTATTAAATGTTTCTGTGTGAGAAAATCAGATGGCACATCATGGCCATGTGCTAAGCAGAGAATTCTGAGCATTGTGGTGATTGTTGATTCTGACCCATTTTGCTGCAGACTTGGGCCCCAAACTTCAAGCCTCTCAGAAATCTTTCCTTTCTGATTCCCTGCTCTTCCTGTTCTTCTTCCTCCTCCAGCAGAAAAGCAGAACTCCCTTCCCCAGCAACCTTCAGGTCCCAGCCTCATAGCCCCTCGTTGGGGAACCCTGCCCTGCTGTATGGGGCTCCCTGGAAGCCAGTGTGCCCATCTCGGGCACCTAATGTTATGATTGCCTGTGAGCAGGACTGTGTTTTCTTATTCCCAGGCACAAAGTTGGGTGCTCAATAAAATTCCTTTAACTGAAATCGTGACTCCAGATAAACCATTTCTGAAAATGATTCTAGCACAGGTTGGGTGACCTGTCTGGGTCAGGGGTAGGGCTGGACACAGAACTTGAGAACCGAAAGTGACCCCAGGAGACACCCTAGCCCTCTCATTTGATGGTGGCTTCTAAAACACTCATTTTTTTTTTAAAGATTTATTTATTTATGCACACAAGAACTGGGGTACAGACCAGAGTGGGGGGATAGCAGGTGAGAGGATTCACCAGAGACAGAATGGGGAGCAGAACAGGCAGATCTACTGAACTACACTGCATAGTAGTGGGTGAGATAGGATAGGTCTGCTGCTCCATGTGTGTATCTCCCTGGCTGGGGATGGAACTCTTGCTGCAGTGGCTGTGGATAGCTTCATAGGTTTTGTCTTAACCCCTTGCGCCACCAGGGAGGCCCCTAAACCACTCCTACTTTTAGATTTGTCTTCAGCTTCTTTAAATGTCAACTATAAACTTTTTATTATAAATACAGTCATTTTAGTTCTTTTTATTAGCGCTCTCAAACACTTTATATATATTCTCCTGTGTTAGGGATAATATAATCATGTCTAAATGTCCACTTCATCCTTATAGTCACTAATGTATGTGACTATAAATGATCTCACACACTGATCTTAATTGGCACCGAACTTGATAAATTCATGGTTTTTCTTGTCCTTTTCATTTTCCATAAAAGTCAAATGAAGACTTATGTATGTGCAGTTACTGAAGAACATTGAAACAGTCATTTTTTAAACTTTGTCTTGTCCCCAATAAAATCGTTTTTCTGTTTTAATTTGTCAACTCAGAAATATTCTTAAATGTTCATCTTCCCATTCATGGCCACTTAAACAGGCAGTCAGTTTCACCAAACCACTCATTCAATTGCTTTATTAAATGTGAAAGCCCTCTCTTATGTGCAATGTTCATCTTATCACCTAATGCCACGGAAAACGTGGCTGGAATTTCACGGCCAGAAGTCCCTCGCCTCTTTATGCTATTTAGCTGTTTCTGTCTCACTCTGATTACTAATCATTTGAGTGTGCTGGATAAGGAAGATTAGCATAATTAATGTTAAACACTACCTTTTAAAAAATCAGTCCTTCCAGAATAATAGAATTTTTGTCTCTCCTGAGAGATACAAAATGCAGACATGAAATATTAAAACCTTCTCCTTCTCAACCTCTCAGGGCTGTCTGTGATGATTCAAGTTTGTGCTGGGACCTGGTACCGGGTCAGCCTGTAAACCTTAGTTACTCATTGTTGACTGAACAAATGATCACCGACGTGTCAAGGGGAGATTTCAAATTTTGATGAAACTCTTAGATATGAAATATTTTTTGACTCGGGTCTGCCATTATAAAGTAAAATTGTTTTCATCTTTAATGAAAAGTGAGAGTAATGTTAAGTTTCCTTTGCCCTCTTTGGCACAACAAAAATATTGCACCTGTTTCATACAGGTATTCAGACCACTTTCCTTCTAAGTTTTCTTCTGTTCTGTAATGGCTTATAATTACTTTTAAAAATTATTACATGATTAAGAATGGAGTATCACATGTAATGACTGTAACAGCATGAAATCACCAGGGCTATATTTTTCTAATATACCCATCAGTGTCAGTTTTTATCATCCTGTTTTGTGGTTTCAAAAAATTTTGTGTGTCCCTTGATTTTAATTATTTTCTCTGCAGTCCCAATTGTGTCAGTTTTTCTAAAGGTACTGCTATATAGTATACTATTTAGTCTAGTTAGAGTTGAATATAACTGTAAAGTATGCAGGACATATATTTCAGCTAAAGTTCAAAAGTTTGCATTTGGTATGCAGATAAAATGAAATTCCATTGATTAGATTCCTGTAATAAGGAGTTACCATTTTAATGAGAATTAGTTGGAAGCTAGCCTCCATACTGCATTGTTTATCAAAGTTTATAATGTGAAAATGTTTGGCGAGAATATTTAAAACATCTCAAAATGGTGTTTAAAAGTCACATGTTTGTGCAAAGTACTGCTAATTGCACATTATATTCACTATTACAGGGCCGGACAGACTCTTTTTGGGATATAGTAAGTTAGCGACTGCATGGGAATGTTTAAAAACCTCTTTGGGGAAGACTCTATAACAAGGGTCCTTGACTAATACTCTATTTCAATTAATCAGAAATATTTAAATCATTATTTAAATAACATTAATTATTTTGAAGTATTAACTTACAGCATCATTTCTCTTAACCAAATATGGTATCTTATTGAGAGAGTCTGGGACAGTTTTCTCTGAAAAACATTTTGACATTTAAACTTCTACTTTAAAAGCCTCCAAGTACTATTTCTCCCAAAGGATAAGTGCCTTTAATTTACTATAAAAGTTTTCAAGATTGAACTGATGCTTTCAAAGCCTGAATTAAGAGAGTTATAACAGGACCAAAGAAATACAGTATGAAGCTGTGTTGTACTTCAAATCTCAGTTCATTTGGGAGGTTCTTGCCGAATGTTTGTCTGAATTGTGGAACAGTAGTTTAATGGGGACAAATACCACGTGAGGATCCTGACACTGTCAAAGTGGATCAGAAACACTTATCTCTGCTTTGAAATTTGTGCTGCCTGACCGTAGCTGCTGCCCTGGCATTCTAGATTGGCCAGAAGGGTGGGTGGTCCCTGTCAGATGGGTCATGTGTGTGAGCTGACCTGTCCCCTGTCCTCAGAGAGTGCTGGCTTGTTCCTGGGGCAGGTGAATAAAGGACTTCGATTTCTGCTGCACCTTCCCCTGCAGTGACCTTTAGGGCTAACCGCCCCTAGGTCCGGCTGGGCAACCAGCGCGCAGGGGAAGAACAGCAAAACCCTACCTGCTGCACCTCCCCCCGCAGTGATCTTTAGGAATGGCTTTCGCCACGGTCCCTAGGTCCGGCTGGGCAACCAGCGCCCAGGGGGAGAACAGCCTGAAGCAGAGGAAGTGCAACGGAAGTTCCCTGAAAAGGCAGAAGCTTATCAATAGATAACGACCACCAAGAACCACTACAAGAATGCTAAAAATCTTATCCCTCTTCCTAGAACTACAAACTTTAATCCCTTATTTGTCTTTCTAAACTTCCTTCTTTCTTCTATAATGGTCATTGCTTGTTATGTAGATCACCTCCCTGATAGTGGTAGACTGAGCCCATGAGCAAGCTAATTTCCTTGATATTCATTCCTGTGCTTTTGGAAAACATATATATACTGGTCACAAATTTAGAGAAAATTACACTCAGATTTTCACTCTTCAAGTGTGTCTGTTTGTCATTTCTTTCGCCGACGCCCTGACCACCCTGCACGCTTCTCTCAACCCTGAGGTGGCCTCATCGTCTACTGCTGTGCTGGTCCGCGGCAGATTTCCCTTCTTTCTTACATTGGAAAGTATATTTTGATTATCCCTGAAGGACACTCAGAATATTGTGACTGACGCATTACAGGCTGTGTCAGCTCAGTGAGGTGAACTTAGACCTATTCTTTGTTTTTTAATTTTTTTTAAGATTTATTCATTTATGGATACAAGAACTGGGGTATAGGCCAGAGGTGTGGGGTTTAAGAGGATTCACCAAAGACAGAGTGGGGAGCAGAACAGGCAGAGTGACTAAAATACACTGCTGAGGGGAGCAGCAGGCAAGACAGGAGAGGTCTGCTGCGCCATGTGGGCAGCTCCCTGCCTGGGGATTGAACTCATGTTGCAGAAGCTGCGGACAACTTCACAGTGCTATGCCTAACCCCTTGTGCAACCAGGGAGGCCTGAACCTAGACTTAATCTTTGGCCAAGACCAAGTGAACAAATGCTCCTGTGCTGTGGCCAGGTTCCTAGCAGGGTGTAACTCAGGAGCACCGGCTTCAGGCTAGGCCTAGGCCCCTGGTGAGTGTTGGACTGCAGTTGAAGGGCTGTTAACAACACTGGTTCTGCTCTCTCCTCCCTGCGCCCTCAGGGACGTGTCCTCCGAGTCGGACAGCAACATCAGGCAGATCAACCAGGAGGCCGCACACCGGCGCTTCCGCTCCCGTAGGCACATCAGCGAGGACCTCGAGCCTGAGCCCAGCGAGGGTGGCGGGGACGGCCCCGAGGTATGGCAGTTCCCATCCTGAGCTCTCCACGCTTCTTCTTTCCAAGCTGTCCAGCATTTATGTCATCATTTCTTCTCTCGTGGGCTCATAGATAATTGACAACCATAGGGGTATTAATCTAAACACTTCTTCTATATGCCATGTGTGATGAATACGTAGATCTTTATCGTTATAAAAGGGAATGACGTGATTTTTAGTATGGAAATCTTAAGATATTCTCACATTGTAGTTTATTTTCTCCTGGAATTAAATAACTTATTAAATGGCAACACAGTCATCATATTTGAGCAATTGAGTGAGTCTCTGTAACTCATTCAAATATAAGTTTTTACTAAGTGGTTTTGGCACTGTGAAAGAGATTTATTTTGCCAAGAAAATACAAACTTGGGTGAAAAGAAGTATTTGTAATTTTCCCCTTCAGTGTGTATGATATATTACCAGGGAGGAAATTATGATTGAGCAACAAATTGGCCACTACCGAAATTTCCTTGCTGTCTTAACTCTATTCACGTACTAAAAATCTGTTCCTCCTAGATGGTATCCTAGGAAGATCATTCAAAAAATGTCCCAGTGGTCAAAAATGGAAAGAAAGAAAAAGGATGTTAAAAAAAAAATGATTCCATAATAAATTTACTAGAAGTTACTTTGTACCCATGCTTAATTACAGCTCATATCATCTCTGCTTTTTCATTGTGACTCCTTGGTAATCAGAATAAAAGAAAATCCATGAAGATGATGAATGAGCTCCTGAGCATGCTTTTTAACCCTCTGCTCAGAGAGGTGTTATTAAGTGCTTAAAAGCACAGCCCCTGGAACCAGACTTCCTTGGTTCAAGTCCTGCCCCTGCCACTCCCTGAAGCTCTATCTACTCTATTAACCTTGGGCAAGTTACTGTGGGAGCCTCAGTTTCCTCATCTCTTAATTAGGGTAGTAGTCGTCTCTCCCTGGTTGAGAAGTTGTATGCTCAGTAAATGTTAATTACAGTGATCATAATGGTTATTATTGTATGTTTTTGTTTGGGGTGTGTGGAGAGGATCCCTAGTTCCTAGCATTAACCCCAATGTCTCATTCTTTAATAGCCTTGGGAGACCATTTCAGAAGAAGTGCATAGCACTGGAGACTCCCTCAGTCTGGCACTGCCCCCACCGCCAGCTTCCCCTGTGTCCCGGACCAGCCCTCAGGAGCTGTCTGAGGAGCTGAGCAGAAGGCTTCAGATCACCCCAGACTCCAATGGCGAGCAGTTCAGTTCTTTGATTGTGAGTCATGGTCTTTTCTAGATTGAGAAGATGAGTGAATATTTTTATCATGTTTGTTGTGTTAGGAGAATCTCATATATAAATAATGACCAAGGGTCTTCCAACTCCCAGATAAGGTCCTCCTTCCTGTGGAGAAACAGGAATATTTAAAAGTTAGTACAAGCTGGTGAGACTTTTTTGATTTATAAAGATCTCCAGGAACTAGGACTACAGGACTTCTATAATTATCCACTTGAACCTGGTAGAATTTCTTTTCCTTGCTAAAGACTCATAAGTGCCACCTTCATCTCAAAGGTGGTGTTTCCACTGGGACTTAGGACATGCCACACCTCTTAAGTCCTACCCTGTGTTTCATCATTCACTTTTCACAGATAGAGGAACGATATTTAAGTGACCCATCCAAGACAAAGGTAGAAGACAGGAGGTATCTCCTAAGTCCCAGAGTCCAAATCCTTTAGATTTGGCTTCTCAGCCATAAAGAGTACTCTTTCCAGAAGCTTCAGATGGGGATAACCCCAGCTGAGAAGCAGCAGAATCAACCATAAAGACCTCTGTGTTTGATCATATAAAACTGCAGGAAGAGCCCATCGAAAATTTCTACTTGTGCGTAAAATCAGGAAACAAATGCAGTTTCAGTGTTTCTTGAGAAATTATACTTAAAGATGTGCTATAGTAAATGATGGTGTTCACACTGCTGAAAATGGGTTACTAGCACAATAGCCATTATTACAGCCAAGTCAACTGTAAAAGCAAGTAAGTACTCACAAAATTGCTACTCCTTCATCGACGGTGTTTTTATTTAAAAAGATACGATTGGCCCATATTATATGAGTTGTAGTGATTACTCAGTTAATGTGGTTTCATATTAAAATGCGATGAATGTTTTTCAGAAAGAGAAATACTGCTGAGATGAAAATTTAGTAAAAGGGCAGGAAAAAAGATCTCACATATGGTATATTTGAATTGGTAAGACTGTTGCTATGGAAACAACATAAGCAGTGAAGCCATATATTTAAAACACATAAGAGGAAGAAAAAGCACTGTGAGAACCATAGCAATTCTACACCTTTAGTCTACCAAGTGAAAATTCATCATTTTCTTCAGCATGAATATTAAGTTAGCATCTCTAGTTATGTATCTAGGGAGTTCCTACATTTAGTTGTTGTGGAGCCATAAAATCACTTTAAAATCCAAGTCCAAGTGTCAGTATTATTTTAAGGTTGTGTTCTTGAAGTCTGGTTCAACTGACAAAGAAAGAGTGCTTAGAAAAGAGGAGAAAACAGAACTTGTCTGCAGTCAAGCTCATCAGGGTCCCTCTGCACAGGACAATAGCATGAGATCTTACTAAAGAATGACTCCTTGTGCTGACCTTCATGCACAGGGACGCACGGCCCCCATCAGCACACACTTTTGACTTATTTTGCCTTGACCTTATCCCATTTATCGTTGCAAAATACTTAAGATGAGTATATGCTAAGACTTTTCCTATGGATGGGCCTCTTGCTATTTGACACCTGACTGGCTGCTTTTCTCTGACTGGATCTTTGACACTTTTTTTAACCACATAAATCAATGCAAACAAGTGAGAGGAACATCAAGCATTATACCATTACTTGATTTTTTTTTTTAATCTTAATTTCTCTATTTTCCTTCATTGCCATTCTGGACAACTCAACACTGGTCGGAAGCTAAAGTTACAAATAAATGCCTGGCCCTTGAGGAGTAGCACGTGATTATGTTTGAGTCCCTCTAGACATAGACTCCAACTCAGTCGATGGGAATAAAATTCAATAAATGTTTAATAATCATCAATCAATACCTCTAGACGTATCACAGTAAAATTTACCGAGAGGCAGAATACAAGGCTGCTAGCTTCTCATTTCCATCACTGTGGCCTGCTTGGTGGCCTGCTGGGTCACCTCTCCCATTTGGGCCTCCTCTTATTTTATTTTTTTGAAGATTTATTTATTTATTTACCACTGGGTACAGTCAGAAGCACAGGAAGGTGAGAGAATTCACCCGAGCCAGAGTGGGGAACAGAACAGGCAGACTGACGAAATATACTGGTGAGGCGAGCAGCGGGAGTGGCAGGAGAGGTCTGCTGCTCCATGTGGGTCCCTCTCCGGTGGCTGGGGATCGAACTGGCACTGCAGAGGCTGTGGGCAGCTTCGCAGCCCAGTGCTCAACCGCTGCGCCACCAAGGGAGACCCAACCTCCTCTTATTTTAGCTGTTTCTATGTAAGGACCAATCAAAATGCCAAGTTTGCGTAAGACCTTGAGAACTTATATATATAAAATATTTTTTTTATATATATATATATAAAATATTCTTTTCTTACATTGTTGTTCATTTTTATACAGTAGTTGTACTGAGGTGTAGTCCCCATAGTTGTCATGCTACCATTTCACCTGTGAGTCATCACTATAGCCCCTTGTGTGCCTCTTTCCCCTGTTTTGATCCCCTTCCCTTGCTCTATGCCTCAGATCTGTGATCAGTGTGCTAGTTTTGTCTTTTTTCTTGACCTTTTGCTTGGTTTCTCTATATCCCACATATAAACGAGACCATCCTATATTTATCTTTTTCCTTTTGACTTACTTAGAGTAGCATAATCCCTTCCAGCTCCTCAGAACACTAAAAATGGATCTACCATATGATCCAGCGATTCCTCTCCTAGGAACCTACCCAAAGAACACAAAAACACTTAATTTGAAAGGAAACCTGCTCTCCTATGTATATGGCAGCACCATTTACAATAGACACGGGGACCTTGGATGCAAGGAGTTGTCACTCTAAAAAGGGGATGTTTCATTTCATTACCTCCTGAATTCCCAGTGGGGATAGGGTAGAGTGGTTGGTAGGTGCTTTTCTAATCCATGACCATGTTTCTGAGGCTGTGTTTTCTCGATGCCCCTGTCTGCCCTCCCTACAGCAGCGGGAGCCGTCCTCACGCCTGCGGTCCTGCAGTGTCACCGACGCCGCCGCCGACCAGGTGCACCTTCCACCGGTAACACCTCAATTCCAGCCCTTGGTTGGCTCTTTGGGTTTCTATTTAAAATCATTTGGGCTACTGAGGAAGAGTTTTTCCTGTGTGCACCCATTTACCATTGAAACAAGACGTCTACAGTTTCCTAGAAAATTGCCTAAGGGCAGTGGATTTCCAGTACACAGAGTTGTTACTGTACCAAAGTCTCTGAAATACTTACATCTTTGCCTTAGTTTTCCACCCAAATTAATGCCAGTATTGATGTGCTCACTTGACCCAAGTTGCTTAACTGAAAATGTACATTAATGATTTCTTCTAAAAAAAAAAACCAAAAAACTCATTTTGTCACTAAAACTGTGCTCTGATGGCCTGGCTTCAGAACATGGCGCCCCTTTAAACAGGAAGAACTCTTCCAGGTTGGCAGTGAATGTGCCTCTCCGTTACTAATGACTTTAACTCTTAACCCCACAACCCCTCTGTGCCTTCTCTGTAAAGGCAGCTCTTCTCACTAAAATACTGGCTGCAATTTGTTCCCATTCCCCCACTGTTTCACAAGTTGCAGCAAATATGAAAGGGTAAGGGGTATTTGAGCCTAGAGGAGAAAGACAACATTGAGTATTCAAATTAGAAGCCTGACTTGCTCTGCCTCCAGAGATGTGCGGTGTATGTGTTAAAATGAAGATATTTTAAGTAAATTTCTTTCTTCTTTTGGAGGAGAAAAATGTGAATGTGGGTTTAGTGTGTTCACCTGGATGTTTTATACCTTGACCAGTTTTTGTTTTATGCCTACAAATCCTGGATCATTCTTATCGCTGATACTTTCTTATGTATGAAAGCAGCTGGAGAAGAATGCTTCAGTTCTTGCAATCAATGTCTTCCCTATCTTGTGCATTTTTGCTCAACTTAAGAGGATATTTCTGCCTGGGCTGTTTAGTGTTCTCTATTTTCAAGATGAACTAATGAACTATGTCAAGATTGAACTAATACATTAGTCAAATGAATAAACCAAATTAGACTCCGTTGCTTCTGGCCTCAAATGGGCTGTTGACGAGGTGTCCTTTCTGGACCAGTTTAGCTCACACCTCACCTCCCCAGACAACACAGCAATCGGCACGGGCGGGAACTCCTCAACCTAATGATTTTGTGGCTTTCCTCTACAATGAATGGCACGCTTTCCTTTTCAAAATCAGTGTTGATTTGATTTACCAAAGAGCTCACTGTCCTGGAAACTGATGATTCCTCCCTTTTCCTGGACTGCTGTAGCTGGGACTTCACTGATCACCCGCGGCCTCTTGAAGTTTGAGTTTAGCAGATTTAAGAATCTGCAAATTATTTAACCCATGGGCAGCTCACATTACTGAGGCTGTGTGTGGTTTCCCGCATCAGGGCCGCAGCCTGCACCTGTCTGTGGAGCAAGGATGCACACACTCCTCTTGGCCCCTGGTCGTCAGTGGTCACTCAGCTTTATTGGGACAGGGTGGCTTTCCAGGCCTCTGATTCGTGTGCCTGCCTGATTGTACCACAGCGGCCATGATTCCTAAGCCGCTGGGCAGTGGTGGTCTCCCGAAGTGCATTTCATTGATGTAAATTATCATTTAACAGCCCAGTGCCCTGGCTAGGAGAGCACGTTCCTCAACCGTCACAGGTGGTGAAGAGCCAACGGTAATGATGCCCTTGATCAAACATTAATGGCAAAGCTGTGGGTTGGTTTTAATATTTTGTACACTGGTGACTATGCTCTTCTCTTCCTTTTTGAAAAGATCAGTGTCTCTGTGCCAGAGAGCTGCATGTGTTTCTTATTTTAAACCTCTCCTGTTTGCACTGTTTAAAATTGGGTAAAAATTGAACAATTTTCAATCCCAGGTAGTGTTGATAGGAATAAGGTCGAGCTTTGGTTAAGTGTGTTTAATTGCACCATTTAAAATATATTTCTGCCTTTCAGGGTTTGTACCAGGTTAGCTTTTCCTGTTTGTCAGCTGCTGGAGTAAAGTCATTGGGTTGCAAGAGAATCAGAAAAGCCCCAGGGATCGCGTGCAGCGGCTCCTGTGGGTTGATTCTCTCTCAGTGGCGCTCCCGGCGTCCTCTCGTGCATTTCCTACAGCACATTAAACGCTGGGTTCAGTTGTCTGTATCACGAGAGTGAAATGGTGACATTTCTCTGCTATCAGGGATCTATGAACCCAGAAATGAAGAAAGGTTCATAGAACTTGGGGAACCGAGGGGGAAGTATAATTAAAACAAATAAAAGGTTTAGAAAAAATGGTCTTTCAGCCAACTGTTAGTCTTATCATTTGTTATTTTATGTAATTTCTAGTGTTCATGTTTGTGGGTAACTTGGATTTGACTATTTTAATTGCCTGTTTTCTATTTGATCCCCAGAGACAGGGTAGCTTATAATTTATGTTTTGAGCTGTTGTAGCTATTTGAAGAATTTCCTTATTGTTCCATCTTTGTTATGTTATAACATACTTGAGAATACTTTTGAATTCATATACAACTGCCGGTTTCTCTGCATGATGTGGATGATTTAAAGAAACAGTGTCATCATGTTAGAATTTAATGCTCAACATTGTAAACACGAAAATCAAATGGGCAGTAAGCAAATATCAACCCAGTATATGTATTGAGCTGCTGGGATGTATGTGGAAGGTGTATATGTATGTGATGGCTCAGCCAGGCTCAGACTCCAGTAGAATTCAAGAAATGCCCAAGTCCTGTGAAACAGTAGTTCTGCAGGATGAGGCTGCAAGGTGGGTGGATCACCCCATGAAATTATATTAATAGAACTCAGTGTTGGGGAACATCCTCTGCCATCCATTTTTGCATTTTATTGGCCTGCAGTTAGTGTGGGATGTGGTGATAGTGGATGATATTAAATGACAGGATGAGCTGAGTTCTGATGGTCCTGGGCTCCACAGTGACCTACCTGGCGGCGCAGAGTGACCAGGCTGAATGCCGTCCTGCGTGGCCAACACCACAGACTCTTTCTTGTCGCCTGGACTCCTCCCATGAATGAATTTTTTTTAATGAGTTTGCTTTTATTTTTAAAAGCCAGGTCACAGTCCATGAATGTTTTACCTCCTGTGTACTGCCTGGCTACCTGGCAGTCTTTTGGCTGCAGTAAGCTCACTTATTATGGCTACCTTAGAAATGTAGATAAGTCTGAAAGTATCACATCTGTTTCTTTCCCACCCCACCCCATCCCTACTCAAGAATGCCTTTCTCTCTGTTTTCCAAGTCCAGCCCTCACTGTTGCTTTCCTCTGTGCCTCCTCCCTGCCCCGCTCATGTGCCATCTCATGCTGCAGCACCCCTGGGCTATGTCACCTCACGCCTTCCTCTGTGCTCTCACACACATGTGCATATGCACACACACACACAGAAAAACAGGGTGGCACATACTAGCAGCTTGATCTTCTTCACTGTAGTTGTTCCTCTGGGATGTGTTAGTAATTACATAATGTCATTCAGTAATGTGAACTTACCGCAATTTATATAACTTCCCCACACTGAAGAACACTCACCCCTTTCCCCCCCCAGGGCACCCCACACCACCTCACATTAACCATCCTGACATGCCTGTCTTCCCCTGGTGCTGCTTTTATTTCTGCAGTAAAATAAACAAACTCTCGTTCTCGCCTGCGGAACCACAGCCCTTTAGTTTACACAGATCTCTGCGTGTGGGTGTCACCCTCCAGCCGAGCCAGGATCCTTCCTGTGGGAGAAAGGGAGCGAGAGGAGCCTTTTGGTCTTTGCTGTGTGTACCCTAAAAGTGCAACGAGGGGAGCCCGATGGCAGAGTGTGAGCACTCGAGGATCTGAAAATTAATGCCAAGCTATTTACCACCTTTAAACCATATTGAAAGGCTTAACTATAAATGGGTTCTTCATTTTAATGTAAACACAGAGCCACTATGAAGTTCTAGCTCAGTGGCCATTTGGCCTTGTGGAACACAAGAGTATGTTCAGATGAGAAGCTGTGAAATGTTAAATTAACATTTAAAAACTCACAGCTTTTGTCTCTAGATGAATTAACTTGTCTTGAGGGAGTGTGCTATACACAAGCGTGCACACACACACACACACGCACACACACATGCATGCAGCATAGGGCTGAGCCACTTCATGCTCTGCCTGTGGAAGCTGAGTCCTGCCCCCACCCACGCTATGTGGGAAGCAGTATTTTGAATCATAAGTGGAATCCTCAGCACAGGTTGTTCTCCATGGTCATTTGGACAGAAATCTATAAAGAAGCACTTTAATAATACCGTCTTGTATAAATGGGGCTAGATGACAGGTTGCCAGTACAATTCTCAGCGGAAAGTGGAATGAATATTTTCATGAAATCCAATGTTTTTTGCATCACTCTTCAGTTTTCCAGAAAAGGATTAGGCCACTTAACGGTGGATCTGTGAAGGCAACCTGGTTGCTGGAATCCTGTATTGAAAATCACACAGCTTTAGAATTCAATTCTGCAATCATCTGTGACACATCTGAGTTATTTTAGTTTTCTAGTCTCCTCATAAATGTCCTTTCTAGGGTTGCTGTCACTGTAAAAATACCCTTTAGGTTTCCAGAATAGAATTTTCTGAAGGCATATCTAATTGCCTCTCCCAAAAATTAAATCTACAGGCAGGAGGAGAGCAACAGATTCCATTGAGTATTCTATTTAGCCACAGCATTTCAGTCATCACATAAACAACAGTAGGTCAAAGTTTGCTAGCATGCACTCTGCCAGAAATACTAATTGACTGCCAGCTTAGGTGACAACTGGGGTTGTGACTTGGTTCACAGAGTCCGTTTCAGCAGCGCCCTGATAGAATGCAGCCTGAAAGTAGCTCTTGGGTGCCACAGCTAGGGAAGGAGGGAGCGAGAGCTGTGGCGTATGTACGAATCCACCGTCATGGAGGGTCAAGTCTATGTGCAATGCTCCTGCTCTTGTTAAATCTCCACACCTAGATCCAAGACCCTGTAAGGTCACAGTCTGGAAATTATCATGGTGGGGACTTTGACCCTTTATCTGGAAAGATTCCAAGGAATAGTGGCAGCAGTTTCAGCACGAAGTTTCTTACAAGTGATCTAGCTTGGGCGGTGAGCTTGTTTTAGAAGTATCCATTGAAGCAGCTGCTTTGTGGTCCCAGTTTACTCTTTCTCTGGAATGTGCCTTTGCCCTCTCATGAAGTAGCACATTGAGCCTCTTTGGCTGTCACCCCCAAGTGACATGGTGGCATCCCCAATTGTGCTAATTCAAGGTCCTGGGGGGCACGGGAGTCTCTATACTGTGACCTCTTTGCCAAGGTACATAGTTTAAGTACATATGGGAGGGGCATGAGCCCGGGAAGGCACTGGGCTCAGGGAAGATTATCATCCTTGGCCTGTCAGCAGTGTCTGAAGATCCTAATTAGGGGTGATGGGACCCAAAAAGAGCGGCTTCCTTTTGTAACCTCACATTTGAGAGGCTTTTCCTGATGTTTGACCTCCTGCTTCTTCCACTCTCCCAAGAGCCCTGGAGGTGGTAGTTGTCTTCTTGTTCCAGAGCCCCCTCCCCTCCCCTAGACCAGCACCCTCACCCCTTTCCCAGGTGAAGGGCGTCTACTCCTACGGAACATCCAGGACAGCCCCCCTCAAGGACCCATGTCTTTGCCTCCAGTATGTCCACCCAGATGGCGTTTCTCACAAGCAGATGTCCCAGGAATCCTTTTGAGATCAAATTTGGACTATCCAAAGATAGTCGCTATACTGAACATGTCTCTAAACCCAGAAACTGCCTGTGCTTCATTCACCCTTTAAGGAGGTACTCAGGATGGAGAGACCGGGGTGAAAAACAGCAGTCACCAGGCTCTGCTGATCCTGTCCTCACGTGGCCTCCAGACCTCTAAGCTGACGTGGTTTAACCGGCCTTGTCTGACCACATGTCAGTGGTCTGAGCTCCTGGAGGGAAGACTCTGTTTTTCCCCCTGAAAGCTAACAGGATAGAGAATTTAGGAAGAGGCCATGACAGCATCCCTGAGGCAGCTGTATTGAGGGGAGAAACTGCCTGAGCCTCCCTGTCATGAACGTAACGCCTGACGGTGTGAAATACCTTTTGGTTCTCCACAGTTCAGCAGTGAAAGTCATTCATGGAACAGATGGCCGTGTGCTTCTCTTGCCCCATATCACATTAGCAAGGGTCCTCTCTGCATTAGACTTCAGGGCCTGAAACCAAGTTCTCTAAGAATATGGACCCCAAGGCTGTCTTGGGGTTCATTTCATGGTAGATTTGAAGCTGTTGGGAATCTAATGCTGTTTTCCAGACACATTTTCGGTACAAGTAGAATTAACTTACTTTGTCTAGAAAAGAGGAATTCTCTGGGTGTACATGACTTTATTAAACTGATCAGAAAACCAATGCAAGATATTAAATAATAATGATTTCTCACACAAACAGCCATCAGTGGCCTATGTACATACCACGCCGGGCCTCCCTTCAGGCTGGGAAGAGAGAAAAGACGCAAAGGGACGTACATACTATGTCAATCATAACAATCGAACCACAACTTGGACTCGGCCTATCATGCAGGTACGCGGATTGCCACCAACTTCAAATCCAGGCCACAGAAGCCGAGGTGTACATGAGCTTCCGGTCTTGGGGTTTCCGTATCGCTTTAGGGAACCCATATTTCAGAAAATTTGCCTCACAAAGAAAAGGCCTTCCATGAAGCCTAAGATTTTCCTAAGCAAGAATTTGGTCCCCAAATCAGTCTATCACTAGATACCTTTTTTAAAATGGGACGTGAAGGATATTTTCGAAGTGTAAGAGCCTAATTACCATATGTAGCTTCTCTCCGACCTCCCCCGCCCCTCCCCTTTTTTTATTCCAAGCCTAGTTTTTATGCTGGGTCAATGATTCATTTTTATTTCCCTTGAATGTGTTTCCCCATCAGCTCCCCCATTATTATGTGTCATCATTTCCTCCAGGCTTTATATAGGCCAGAGCTCCTATTAATGCTGTCTGTGGTGTTGTTAGGTCCTCAGTCCCAATCACATGCGCCAGGAGATCGTCACATGAAGCTAACTTGTTTTTGCCTCCAAAATAGCTTGCAGAAGATGGTGCCTCTGGATCCGCCTCAAACAGTAACAACCATCTAATCGAGCCCCAGATCCGCCGGCCTCGTAGCCTCAGCTCGCCAACAGTAACTTTATCTGCCCCACTGGAGGTGAGAAGGCTGCCTCGTCTACCTGGGGGTCCCCTCTCTCCTGTGACTTCTCACCCTCTCTTCTCTCTTAACTTGAACTTCCGTTTTGCAGCCACCTTCCTCTCTGGTCAGTCGTTGTGTCCGTGGTGAAGGGTGTTCTTGTGCAGCCCGACTACATGCTTCTCTGTCACCCAGTTAACATTCCTGGATTCCCACCTGATTCTCATTCTCATTTGGCTGAGGCCATGGTGACTTGTGCTGGATGTGGGCACTCTCTTCTCAGAACTTTCTCCATCCTTGTGTTTCGCTCCTTCTTGCCTGTCGACCTCATTCAAATCACATAGTAACTCTCCAGCACCAGTGCTTATCTTGAGTTTGACAACATAAGCTGTCGCTTTGATCATTTCTTTTCTTTCGACTGTAGGGTGTCCCATTGTGTGGGGTACGTGTTTCCGATGCATATCTGCATCTTACATCATGCTGGGCGGCTGCTTGTGCTCCCTGTTTGTGTGGTTTTGGGGCCATCCCTTAACCCCCAGTGTCAGAGTCAGAGCCGAAGAGTGAATGTTTGCTGTTCTAAACTTGACCATGTCTTGGAGGTGGCCGGGGTTTCTCTGTTCTCTGGGTATTTAAGGTGCTGCTAAGGGGATGGATAATGACCTTCTAGACTGTGCCATAAGTGCCGTGGGGACAACCGTGTGAATCCAGGCAGTTGTCTCCACTGCTGGAGGCTTTGCTTTCTGTGCTCTAAAAATGAGCAACCCATTCATTAGACTGTGAGCTCATTGAGAGCAGGGGCACGCTTTTCTCTGTAAGATCTCCAGCTGTAATGCTCAATATAGAGCAATGTTTTGGGTACATATCAATAAGTATCCAAGGGTGATGGTCATATGTGGGTAATGGTGCTGTGTGTTCAACCAGTAGAAGAATGTTAAAGTTGGATTGAATTAAGAGAAAATGAACAACTGAAGTGGGTTTCTAGGAGCTTCCTTGTCCCTCTCCATAGAGGAGCATTCGGTGATACCCAGGTGCATTTTGACACCTCTGGAATAGCGCGTGACAAGCATTCTAATGCTGGTTATTATTCCTTAGGGTGCCAAGGACTCACCCATACGTCGGGCTGTGAAAGATACCCTTTCCAATCCACAGTCCCCACAGCCATCACCTTACAACTCCCCCAAACCACAACACAAAACCACACAGAGCTTCCTGCCACCCGGCTGGGAAATGAGGATCGCGCCAAACGGCCGGCCCTTCTTCATTGACCATAACACAAAGACTACAACGTGGGTAAGGCTGCCGCTTTGACTCGGCTCCATTTTCATCGTGACGTCTGGCGTTAACTTCTTGATTTCCTTACTCAATAGCCACAGTTCTTAGGAATGTCTCTGCCTCTGAAGTGGGTCCCCTAGCCTGCATCTAGACTGTGCACGAAGGGGTTGGTGGGCGGGTGACTTGGGGGTACAGGGCAATGGTCACTGTGGGCAGTGAGATGAGGGGGTGCCCTTTCCTGGACAACTCCAGCTTGGACTAGTCACCTGTTGGGGGGACAGGTCATGCTCTGTATTGCTAGGATGTTGATGTTACTGGTTCAGATCTCATGATGCTGTAATTTTATTAGGAATTCTAATTTTTTTTTGTTACATTGGTTTTTCTTTGTCAGTTTCTTATTTCATTTTTATTGACATTTCCCCTCTCGGTTTGACTTTAGTTTTTCTGTTCACATCAGATTAGTTTTCACACTTCCCTGCTGCATTTCATCCCTTTAATTGTGGGTTAGTGGGTGTATGATGGGCTTGGATTGTAAATTTGGTAGCTCTTTTTGTGACCATTTTGCCTAGTTGATTTTTCTCGTCACACTGCTATTCTATGTATGTGCCCTGGAATCATGCATGGTTGTATTGACTTGAGCGAGATGAGATTTATCAAAGGTGACTGTGAAAAAAAAAAAAAAAAAGGTGACTGTGAATGTCTTTGTATTCCTGTCAGTTCTTCATGTCTCCAGCTGAATTAGTGGTGGTTTATGTTAAGTACATACAGTTCTCTTAAAATTCAGTGGCATTTTCTCCCATATGATCTGTAGACCTATAATTAAACTGAAATTAGTTCTCGTTTCTATTTCTGATGTTATGGGAGGTTGGTTTTTCTCCCTGGCCCTTATACCCCCATCTAGTTATCTGGGCACAAAGTACCTCAGTCCTCCTGTCTGTGCTACCTGCTTAGACCAAGACTGGTTGCTTGTGGTGATTGTCATTGGTCTTGGATTGGCAGTGAACACAGCCTCTAAATTCCCATTTTCTAGTGACTCCACCACACCACGTGTGTCCCCTGGAGGGCTGTGTCCAGAAAGAGGCCTGGCTCTGCATGACCTGGACTGTCCCTGGCATGTTAATTCAGGGCCTTGAGAATTGAACAAGATGGCCTGGAGGGCTTACTGTGTTAGGCCCAGGGGTGCTGAGGGGCCCCAAAGTTCTTGATTTCTCCTCAGGAAAGAATTCATGCAGGAGTCAGGATAGGTGGGTTAGAAATGAAGCTTTACTGTAGGTGAACGTGCGCACCCCAGAGAGTATGGGCAGACTCAGGAGCATCCTGCCTGGGGTCTGAAGGCTGCTGGTGTAAACATTTGCTTAGTTAAAGGGACCGGGGCTCACAGATGGGACCCTGAATGCTTTCAGCCACTTTTGCTTAATAAAAGGAGCAGGAATTTACAGACTGGGATGAGATTTGGCCAATTTTGTTTATCAAAAGCATCTGACCCTTAACATCCTAGTGATAAGATATAAGTTTTACTACTAGTGGCACCTGCTGTGAGATAAACTAGTAGGGTTTGAATCAAACTAGTAAGGTTTGAGTCACTTTGTTCTGAAATGTGCTAAGTTCCTGTTCTGCCTCAGCTCTCTTCACTCCTGTGGGTGGTGGTGCCCCAAGTCTCCAGGACTGAATTGTGGGCCTTGGGAGTGGGAGTTAACATTCTTTTTTCCTGCCCCCAGATGGCCACCCACACCCCCATGATAATGATATTAAAACATGCCGCCCATTTCCTAACACCCCTTGCTGAAAACCACTAAAAGTTCTTCCTATCTTGAAATAAAGGAAGCGCCTGTGCGGCCCTCATTTCGATCTGGTGCTGTTCATTTGGTGAATTCATAATTCCGTCTAAAGCATAGAACAGCAGGTAGGTTTTGTTTGACTCACCTTTCAGTCTGAGGATATTATTGTGGGTAAAATGAGCATAAAAAGGAGGCAAAGTACAGAGATGGGAAATAGAGTAAGATTAACTTAGAGCCCATGGTCCTTGCTAGGCTAGTGTGATCATTTCCATTTCCTCCGGTGCTCTGTGATTTCAAATTGTCAGCCAGAAATAGGAGCTCCAGACATGCGGGGGACACTGTAGTGGATGGGTCAGCGTATGGAGCCGCTGTGGCTTGCCAATATAAGCTATGATTTTAGTAATTTGAACTAGCTTAGTAATCAAATCCCCTAACGTTTTCAAGCCTTTCATGCCACAACTGCAGTGTAATTGCAGCTGGGCAGATATTATTTTAAAGAGCACTCGGTTTATTTATTGCCTGCATAGCTGCTGAATGAAATCTAGTTTGAATTTCCAGTTTTCCCTTTAACCCAGATACTTGTTAGGGACTAATTTGCTGATTTAAAATTTCAATTTGTTAAAATAACATTTTGTTGCTGCTGCTGCTGCTGCAAACCCTCTAGGTAACAGTTGGAAATTCCACAAGTTACTGCCTTTCTCCACTCAACTCAGGTGTGCTCACACTGCTGGGTTCTCTCTTCTAAACAACTGCAGATGCAAAACCCTCCCTGTGAAGTCATCCTCTAAATTGCCTGTTTATTTTGACAAAAAGATGGAGAAGCTGAAGGGTAATTTCCAACCTAGAGTCTGTTTTGGTTTGGGATTTGCGTTGTTTGTTTTTTTTAAAGAGAGAGTAAATGAGGGAGAACAGCACAGCTATGCTTAGATTTGATCATTATAATAGAAAAAGGAAGAAAAACTCGTAGGACAGGTTGACAATAATGAAAATGGTAACCGTGCCCCATCAACCAACTTGCCTTCGATTCTTGCACTAAGCAGAAGACGCAGGGGCAGATTTGGGGCTGACGTGGCTCGTGTATATGTCGATAGAGGAAAACTCCCTTTGAAGTCTATTTATAAAACACAGCCTTTCACACACACATCATGAAGGCAGTGTGCCAGCGAGCTCTCCAGCTCTCCGGGATAAGGTCTGACCAGTAAAGCAAATCACCATCACTTTGTCCCCACGTGGGTCTCCAGGGCCCTGGATGCTGCCCAAGAACCCCCGGGTGACAGGGGTCTGGAGAGACACTCTGTGTACCCCTTTCTTCTGCTAAGGAAGCAGCTCACAGCCTGTGTGTAAGAGTATATTTATGTCTTTTATAGGACAAAGCATTGGCTTATTTTTGTAGTGAGAAAGATTATACTTAATACAGCTTCAGGGTTTTTATTTCTGCTTAGGCCCAAACTAATAAAACTCCTGTAGCCTCAGCTTGGCGGTGGGTCTGTTCCTGGATGGAAAAAGCACAGTTGTTTTTTGAACCAGTTCACAGTCCCAAGTTTTATATATTTTTTAACGATACTGCTAGGAAACTTTTTGAAAAGATGTTGATCTTTGCCTTCTATTTTAAACCCTTTCTGCTTTTTTTGAGGGAAGTAATTGTGTGCAATGTTGAAATAACCACGACAGCATGAAGGAGTGCTAGTACTGTGCTAAGGAAAGGGAGAGAGAACCAAGTGTGTCTTGTGTGTTTTATCACTTTCTGTTCATGTCATTTGAGGCGAGTATCCCAGCTTATGCCAACCCTGGCTGCTCTTTACCTGCTCTGTCAGCTTGGGGTGCTGCCTCTTCTGTTGTTCCATAGGTTGGTGAGTTTAGTGGTGCCCACTAGACTTAGCTGTCAGGGCTTGATGGATGGCAGCTACTGACCTCATGTTGATTTTGTTGGTATATTAAACTAATACGATCCCCAAGGGCCAGTGGCCCTTACATTCGGAATCCTGGGTTTCCATGCAAAATGCAAAGCTTCTTTAACACACCTGTGAAACAGTTATTATATATAGTTCATACTCCTCTCCCCTACTCTTTTACCCAGCCCCTGGCATTTTCCTTTGAGCCTTTTTTTTTTTTTTAATTCTCTAAATCACCATCTCTTTACCCAAGGGCTGATGGTCCTTTGCAATGGCCTGCGTGATTCCCAGGCATGGCTGGCCTTGCATGTAGCATCCAGAAGCCCCTGCCTCCTTCACACCCCTTGCTTTCTCTAAGCCCAGCGAGGCCAGTGGTCCTTACATGGGAATTTGTAGGTGTGGCATGGCCTGTTCCAGCAGAGTTAGCCAGGACGGGGTAACTGCTGAGGAGTTCAGCGCTCTAAGTTTCTCCTCTGACCATGATTAACTATCACCAGTGTTTACCAGATTAGCACCTTCTTGGGCCTCCTAGATCCTAAATCTACTTAGTGCATCTGTTCACACTATGTATGTTCCAATATGAGACAGAGCACTGGACCTATTTGATGCCTCTGCTTATCCTTATAAAAAGTGTATTAGGTCAATATCTATTTCTAACAGCTAACATGATTTTTTTCCTTCAGTTAAAAAGTTTGCTATAGCTAACAGAAAACGAAAGTTGATTTTATTTTTTGTGATTTTTTTTTTTTTTTTTTTTTTTGGAGATTCTTGCCAGTTCCAAAAATCTAGCACTATGTGGTAGTCCACTGATAACTAACAGAATATACTGTTGATTTGGGGGTAACATTTTTGAAAGCTTTATTGAGTTATATCACACCATTAAATTCACCCATTTAAGATAGACAGTTGACTGGTTTTTGGACCCTCAAATATGCAATCATCAGGAAAATCAATTGTAGGGCATTTTCAGCACCTCCCAAAGAAGACCCCCATAACCATTAGCAGTCACTCCCATAAACTAGTAGATTTTTAATACAGTTTTGGGTTTTCTAGATATATAATCATATTTCAAAAAAAAAGAGTTTTATTGTTTTCCAGGTTTTATGCCTGTCACTGCATTTCCTCAAACTTGGGAAAATGATGGAACAGAAAAGATTTTTATAACTGGATAGCCACAAAGGCTTTAATATAACTGAAATAAACTTTTTATAAGGTTTTAAAGAGTTTTTATTAGTTCATTTTTAATTGTAGGCTTAGTTGATAGACAACGTGTAACACTGTTTGATCTTGTTTTCTAATCTTTTGAGTTTAAAATCTGAACACACTTGAATTGGGTCCAAGCGAGTGAGAGATAGCTCCCAGACGCTGGGTCAGAACCTTTGGGCAAATTCTTATCTGTTCTGAAGCTCCATTTTCTCATCTACAAAGCAGAGAGCGTGTGCCCAGCACACAGGACAGCTTCAAGATCTAAGTCTAACTGTTCTTTGTAAGTTTAAAGCATGAACCGAGATGCCCTGTTTTAGTTTTGTTGGTTCTCTGTCATCATATGAACCATATTCCTTGAGGAAAAACTTTTTGCAAAATTTTCAGTATTAAGAGATAAATGAGACTCCACAGAACCTAATCGAGAGTCTCAGGGCAAGCATAGTAGGGACGTGACTCTAAGTGACGAAGCCAGCTAACCCTGGGCCAGCACGGGACTTGGTAGTCAGCCCAAGTTCAGATTTTCTGCCTTAGTTCAAAAAAGAGTAGAAGGAGCGTAGGAAGCTCAGGTGCAAATGGAGACGCCAGCTGCCCTCAACTCCTCCAGAGCTCAGGATCCATAGGGAAATGTACAGCCTCTGTCCCTGCACCCTCTTGGGGAATGGAGCCCCCTCTTCACAGGTACCATCCTTCTGGGTTCCATAGTAACACCACTGGGGCCCTCCACCCCTTCACCTGCTCAAGGTCTCATCCCAAACAAATAGTTCACCTTTCTTTTAAATATTCTCGCTCTCCCACTTTCACCAAGGACAAGGAGGAAGAGTAGAATTTTTTTCGTGCGTTGATCAATCAGGCTTCCTGTACAAAGATGGCCCCCTGCCGCCCTGCAGCAGCAGCTGGGGTGCCTGGAACACAGAGCTCCAGATGGGAAGGAGCCAGTGACTGCACACAGACAGTCCCTCTTAACATCATCTGCCTTTTACATTTTTCTTGCAGGAAGATCCGCGCCTGAAATTTCCAGTCCATATGCGGTCAAAGGCATCTTTAAACCCCAATGACCTTGGCCCTCTTCCTGTGAGTACACTGTAGACATGGACCAGTCTGAAGATGTTTATTTAATTCATCTGCCTATGGTTGATGGAGAGGTTCTGTGACCTTCTCTTTCTCCAGGCACTTTGGGTCCCCTTGTTTTGTAATTTCTTAACTGGGTGTACAGCTGAATCCTAGTAGTACACACTGTTCTCACTACACCCGGTACTGTGAAGAGGTTTCCGAATTGCTAACTGCTCGGGGAAGGTAGAGCTTGAAATGAGGTGTAAAAGGCATTCTCTATAGGTGGGAATTTGAGCAGCATGCATTTATTTCGTAACTTAGCAACCTCTGAGTTCCATCCGTATCGCTGATTTAGTCATAGGGACAAAAATATTGAAACCAGTGGGAGAAAAAGGCATACATAATCACAGGAGCTTCTACCAGTCATGTCGTCTGAAGATATTTTCAGTTTTTTTCCTTTGTGATAACTTTATAAATCTGTTGGGTTTTTCTTTTTTTAATCAGTTTGTTCTCTTTTGGAGGCTGAGTGAGAGTTGAACTATTTACTCCAACTTGGATTTTGAATGAAACTTTGACCAGGCATCCTCCATGTCCCACCGTCAATAAAGAAAAGGCTTTATGGGGTAGGAAGGGGGGAACTTGAAGGCTATTTTAAATGGAAGGATGCTGGTGCTTGGGGATTGCTGTCCAAGCCTAAGAACTTATCTGTTCCCTGTTTATTGTATACTGTGGCAAAATTTAAAGCTTCAAAGATTAGGACTCAATCTCCATTCACCAGGCTATACAAATACCCCTCATTTTCCACATCAGTTTGGTTCCTGGATTTAAAAAGAAGGATCCCAGAGCATGTCTGAGGGGTTTCAAATGTGTCAGGTATGAGCTATTGATGTACTGGAGCCTGGTTTCAGGGAGCAAGTCAGCACAGCGAAGATAATAAAAGCCGACCTGTCTTGTCTTCAAAAGATCATCCAAATCCATTTGGTTCCTGAGTCTAAATAGTGAAGGACCCCAACAGAGAATGCCAAAAGGAGATAGTTCAACCCCTGATGATGTGGCTAAAGCAGCTGTCCCTAACATCTTACATTAACCTCCTCCTCCCTTGAACGCTCAGTAAATTCATTAAATGAGCTAGTCAACCCCAAATTCCACTGTTGCATGGTTTGCTGAAGTTTCCCTTTGAAACTTTTGCACCCCGTTTCCTGTCCTTACTGCGAATGCGTCTGAGATTGTGGAACATGTGACGAAGTGTGCTGCTCGGTGTTGTCAAGAGTTACCCTGAAATGCTTGTTTTTAGATTATTCTGAATATAAAAATATACCCTCCGAGAGAAGAGTAAGAAAGCATCTGAGAGTTTTAAACTTTTGCCTTTGATTTTGGAACTGCTGGCTAATGTTTGTATTCTCTCTCTTTGTCTTCCCCGATACTAGCCTGGTTGGGAAGAAAGAATTCACTTGGATGGCCGGACATTTTATATTGATCATAGTAAGTAGGCCCTATTCCAGACACAGAGGTATTACAGATAAGGGCGGGGGGAGCGGGGAGGGTAAGTCAAGTATCCTATGAAAGCTTTGTTGTTTTGCTCTTTGTCTAGGCAGCCAGGTGTTATGTGGAGAGAATGATACCAGTGAGTCAGTGCCCTTGTACGGTACTGTGATTCACCCCAAGTTTGCTCTCAAGTGGCCCTTCCAGCTTTCACCCAATTTGATCTTGTGACCTATTAACCTTTTATTTAATTAAAAAAAATTTTTTTAATTGATGATCCCTTGACTCTTGCGCTTTGAATAAACACACTCTGGTAATAGAAAATAAGATTAGAACTGATGTTTGAGTCACAAATCTGTGTGAGCAGCGCTTGAAGCCATATGTATGTGTTTTGAACACTGTGCTCTAAAGTCACATGGCTAGATGCCCTTCCTGACTTATTTTCTATTCGTGGCGTGTTTCCCTGCACCCAACACACTAATACAAATGTACTTTCTTTTCTTAAAATGTTAGTATATTTGCTGTAGACATTTGCTCCAGCACCTATGAATAAATGTGTGGTTTCTCACTTCAACTAAAAGTTAAACTAATAAAAGTTTGCTTTTAGCCAGTGGGTTTTTTTTTTCCCCCTATTTTGAGGTGATATGTTCTCCATGAAATCATACTTATCAGTCCCCTAAAACTTCTGAAAAAGTAAAAAAAAATCTTCAAATAGATTTAAGGTTTAAACCATGCTTGCAATTTGGTAGTCTTTGATCTTCATTTTCATTGGATTCATAAACAGTAAGTCAGCACGAAGTCTCCCCAGCCTCACGCTGGAATCCAAAGTACACAGATGAAGCCAATTGCTTGGAAGTCTGCCCACCAGGAATTTTCATATGGTCAGAGCTTGTGGCCATCTCCTAGACTTAGTGCCTCTTCCAGATGTCCCTAAGAAACTGAGTGCATCCAGACAGACGGGTTATTCTACACAGCAACAAGTCAGGCAGTTCGGAATTAAGCCAGAAGTAGCAGTCCTTAGGTATTTGCAGAGGAGGGGGTCGGTAATCTACCCTCTGGTTTAAATTAGGAACTTCAAGGTACACAGGCCTAGTTTTTCTCTTCAACCAGTAAAAATACTGATTTGCCTACTTTGTAGAATTTCACAGTCAGCAGAGCACAAATTGCTGCCATTGATGCTTTGAAAAATGGATATAGGCCTACTTTTTTTCTTAATATATTAAAATTCATTTATCATAATTTGCCAAAACTGGAGAGGGATGATGTCCTTATTTCCCACTAAGAACAAAAAGAATTTCCTTTTCCATGTTTTCATACATCACAATTTGAGTTTTAAAGACAGGTGCAGATAAGAATGATCATTTTACTACAGCAAGGTCTTAACCAATAACCCAGCCTTGGTCTGCAGCACCAGGAATATTTCGCACACCACAGTGGCCGAATGCTGACTGGTGAACCCCAAAAGAACGTGATGAACATTTTTTTTAATGCACAGCAGGACCCAAAAACAGGAAAAATACTGCTGCCAAGGATTATCCTAGTTGATTAGAAATAAAGATCATAGACTTTTTCTAGTGGCCTGCAGAGGCATAGTGTAGAATGTGGTTTATATATATATATGCTTGGTCAGTGGCAGCTCAAGTCAGTCCCTAGATAGGTAGTGGGGTCAGTGTTAGGAGGTTGATGTTTTTGTTCAAAAAGTGGAGAGAACTTGAAAACAGCAGTGGTGTCTCCAGCCCCCGGCATGCCAGTTCCTGTTTGCTGCCAGCTGGGTGAGTGTAGTTACTGCTCACGGGCTGGGCGGTTCCTTGTTCCTGATTCTTCCACCTGCAATCACCGTCTTCCCAGACATTCCTCTTTCCTGTTGCCAGAACAGCACAGGGAGGCTCCTCTTGCTTCTGAGGAGCCAGTGATACAGTCTAGATCTTGTATGGAGCCTGCTTTATCTGAGCTATGAAATATGACTTTTGTGATCATTTACATGGAAGTTGAAATTGACCTTTTCTCATCCATACTGAAAGGTTCTCTGAACGTGATACAATGAAAATTAAATGACAAAAAAACTACATAGGGAAAAAATCTTTGGGAGAATCTCGGTAGCTGTTAATGCCACATCTCTGCCTTTCCACCAAATCTCTGGATTTCACCAAATCCAGCCCATGAAAAGTGCAGAAAACCTGTTGTTCTAAGATGCTTTGTTGGGCTGTTAGGGATACCCCTCAGGGGGTTAGTGACCTGGGAGTGGCATTTAGGAATTGTCAGACTTTCTGAGTCAGTGGCTCTATAAGCAGTTATCCTGCATCTGATTTCTAGCAAAATTCAGTATCTGATATCACTGTCCTGCTGCCTGCAGGTCTGAGACCAGGTCACCCCTACCTGTGTCACTTCACTGTGCAAACAGTCGTCTCTTAAGTCACTCTGTCACCCTGTCTTCCAGGGCGACACACTGAATGAAGCAATGCACTTGTCTTTTAAATAATTAGTTGATTTTCTGCTTCATAAGTTCTTGAGAAGTTAAAAATTTTCAAGATTAAAAATGTGCAATCATCTTCAAGGTTTAATTGCAGAAAAGACTACTGCTCAGGACTAATCTCTTTGGACTCCTGGTTCATTTGGCTAACATGGATCAGAGAGCTCTCAGGTCTCCAGCCTGGAGTAAAAGGTGAAGGGAAGATCTTGAACTGAATCTCTACCTCTCTTAGGAAGCCTGTAATTCTTCTTATGGACCAGATACACCCAGAAGCTGAGTAACTGGCCACAGGTATCTTATATTCAAAGCTAGAAGGGAAAATAAAATGCTGGGAGGCTTTGAAATCCTGTTTTAGTCTTTTCTATTAAAGGCTTACTGAATCTGTTCATTGCAGCTAAAATGAGACATGTCCCTTTATTTTAAATGTAATGTTTTGAAAATGAAAAACAAATTTAGATTCAAAAGTTCTGGAAAAATTGGATAGCTGGCCACCACATGTTTATATATTGACAGTACTTAACTATCTTGATCTTTGTTGCAGCCACACAGAAGTAGGTGTGCTGAAAGCTGAGACTGTTTCAAAGCTTAGAATGTTTTCACCGTGAACTTCATTAGGCCATTAAATCTTTTTATATTCCATTCTGAGAAATGTGTGAAGTGGTAGAGAGGGGCTGCAGAGATGACTAATGCATAGTCCTGTCCTCTCGGGGCTTACATCCTGGTAGGACACACCAGGAGATATTTCTGGTATTACGGGGTGAACCCATTGTTATTAGAAGCAGAAGCAGCAAAGATGCACTGCCTGCTAAGGGGTTGTTCCCCTGGGAGGGAGACTGCTAGAGGATCTTACAACACAGACTACTTTGAGATGGGTCTGAAACAATAAGACATTGGCCACTTGGCAAGTGGTCCCAGGCTGGAGAAGACATGTGCAGGCTGGTGAAACTCTGTAGATGGTGTTATGTGCAGAGAAACTTAGGGCCACGAGTGGCCAGGTGCAGAGGATGCCAACACAGCCCATAGGTCAAGACCGAGGGGTCTGCCAGGTGGGGAACTCAGGTCCCTGTAGACGGGAGGAGCTCCTGAGGGATTCTCCAGGGGGCAGGTCACAATGCTCAGGTCTATGCTTGAGGAGATCTTTTGGCAGAGATATAAAAAGCAAATTTTGAACAGGGACAGTTTGGTGACCACCATGAGCAGCAAGGGAAGGTGAAGGATGTTGCCAGGTTCCAGGTTGGAACACTGAGTGGATTTTTAATCAGGAATGCTATATTACATGAGACATTTTGGAGGATTAAGGGTTCAATTTTGGTCTAGTTGGGCTTAAGGTAGCAATAGGAAGTCCAGGTATAGATGGCAAGGCCAGAGCTTGAAGTTCAGGTCTGGACTGAAGATTTGGGCCATGGTGATTTTCTCTGGTGGTTGTACCCAGCTGATGTGGCTATAGCCAGGCAGTCTTGGCTTGGTTGTCTACTGTTTTCTTTTTTCTTACTCTCCTCACCATCAGAACTTTCACTTTGCAAAGTCTCCTGTTGTCAGGATAAGGGACCCAAAGGTGCCTTTTGTTTCCATCTAGGTTCTATCAAAGAGTTAAAACATCTCATGTAAATTTTTTGCCAGCATGAATCCGGAGTCACCATGTGCATGCTTTTCTGTAGCTTTATTTTAAAACTTTACCCCTGCTTTCATTAAAATCATTTTAATACCAGCCTTAGAAAATCCTGCTATGACATCAAAACCAAGTTTATTCATTTTTCATATGTGTCCACTTACAGAATATATAGGGAACCAGCAGACTATTTCAATATTCTATTCTTAAACATGTCACTTCCCTTTTTTGGTGCCAACTTTGTTAAAACTCCAGAGGAAACCTGTTCTCCCCCAGTCATCCTGTCCATATAGTCCATGTGAGTCCATCCTATGCCCCCCACAACCTCTCAGTATTCCATAGTCTTTGTAATGACACAGTCGCAGACCCCAAGAGATTCAGGGTAGCTGTTGTGTGTTGCCACCTACTCCATTGAAGTGGGGGTGTAGGTGGTATTGAACAATCTTGCTGACCTTGACTGGAAGAAAGAATGTCACTTCGCGCCAAAGGGGCAGCTTCCTCTGCTGTATCTAATCCTGACTTACTGGACTGCCTTAGCTGCTTTGCTTTGTCATATGCATGAGTGACACATGTACTGGATTATTAATTTGTGCAGTGAAGGATTTTTCATTGAAAGCAGTTTTCAACACTCTGAGCAAAGAAAAAAGTATTTGAAATTAGAAAAAAAATCATGTGTGTTTATTAACTTTGGGGGGGGACTAAGATATTTAGACCTTTTTTCCAATTAAATGAAAATCAAGATCAAGTTATAAATCCTTGAGAGAACAGGGGTTTATAATCGAAATTTTGGCAGATTACATGCCAAAAATAGTGTGAACAGATGGCTTTACTTCAGTTGTGCTTTTTTGATTGAGCTGGGGTGGGGGGAACTTGCCATAAAGAGTATAATTTTCTTCTAACCCTGAAACAATTTATTTACCTTTGGGAGCCAGGGTTGGGGACTGGACAGCTTTGGAAGAATCCAGAAATACTTTTTTCCAAAACATTTTTGGCACAGAATAAATTTGAACTAATAATGCTGATTGATTTTTTTTTTTTTACACATTAATTTTCAGATAGCAAAATTACTCAGTGGGAAGACCCAAGACTTCAAAACCCGGCGATCACTGGTCCGGTCAGTATTCTCGAGTTTTCACTCTCCAATATAATATGCCGATTGCCTCTAAACACAGTTCTTCTTTCTTCTTACCATGGTGCCAGGGATGTACAGTCACTGAGCAGTTTAATTTTGCTCCCATCTCCTCCTTTTGGGAATTTCTGGGGGAGTTGCAGCTGCATTTGCCTTTTTTATGGGACTTTCATTAAAAAGGAAAAGAAAATTGTTAACAAAATTAACCATTTTATTTTTCTCCTCTATAAAATTGTTTATTAAAAGTACAATAAGCCCTCACTCAGACTCTGGGAAACTGCATCTTGAAGGGAGACAAAATAGAGCCCAAACAGGCCCTGGAATAGCTCTGTTTCATTCAACCTCTGCTTTTTTATCTCATCAACATTACAATGAAATGGCGTTGAACAAGAGTTATTTGAGGCCCTGCTGCATACCAATCAAAATATCCTCTCTCTTTATGGGAAGCCAAATAATGATGAGAGAGAAAGTGTGTGTGTGTGTGCGTGTGTGTGTATTTGTGTCATTTCACTAGGCCAAGGGTAATAAATGCATGCTAACAAAATTTAGACTGTATTCTAAGTCTTCCAACTCCAAACATCTGTAAAAGTTTGGGTGAGGTTATCACCATTTTCGGGAGCTGGCAGAGTTAAGAATCTTTAACTCGGTTAACCCACTAGCTTTCTCCAAGTCTAGGTAGAAACAGAATGAGTTCTGCCTGAGGTGGGTGACTTTTTGAAATAGTGCCCTGGTTGTTCCTCAGGACTAGGGAGACCGCCACTGTCCTTCAGCATTATGACAGTCAGTCTGGACACTAGCAAACAGGGCCACAAGCCTTGGCATGGCACAGGGCCTTTTGTAAGTGCTTACATGGGTGCAGGGAAGTCCTTTGGGATTACAGGAAGTTTGCTGGGATCAGCAGAAGATAGCACATGTAAGAACCTTTTAAAAAGTGGAGGAGCAAAAATAAGTAAGTTTGGTATAGCCGGTGCTGAACAAAGAGGCCCGCAGGCATATGTACAATAGGATCATGGCTTTAATCTGATTCAGTTCAAATTGCTTTTTTGAATGAGAAAGATAAGTTCATTTGAAAAGGTAGTAGCACTATAGTGCAAACCCCACCTTCTGCTGACTGACAGTGACTAGTTATCTGTTGGATTGTTCATTGGATCTGCTCGGAGGCTTTGGTGGTGTTTAATGTGAAGTGCTGGGGAAGACCTGGGTTAAAGCAGACAGTCGACTCGACTCCTCTTTCTCTATGGAACTTAACAAACTCCTGCATTGCTATTCCCGCAGCTTCTTTTGATATATTCACAGACATAATAAGTTGTTAAATAGCATTTTCTCTTCTCCATCAATGAAGCAAGGGAAATTCAAGAAACAATGAGAACAGAGGACTTCTGAAATAATTCTAAAGCTTTTTTTCAGTTATTTCTATGATTCATTGATCATCTGCTTTCTCTCACTTTGTCTTATTACTTTTCTAAGTTGATCACTGGAATCCATCCAGTAGATATCTCTCTTTGTTTTCTGAAAGAGTCTTGTTTACTTTTTTTTATTACTCATGTTTCCTTTAATAAGAGTATGTGTATTTAGGTAATTATCAACCTGGTGTAGACATCTGGTCTTTATGAGCATTCAATTCTAAACTTTGGTCATTTCAATGAGAATTTCCCCCCTTATAAGTTTTTTTTTTTAAAGATTTATTTATACAAGAAGTAGGGTACAGGCCAGATGTGTGGGAAGGTGAGAGAATTCGCCAGAGACAGAGCGGGGAACAGAACAGGCAGACTGATGAAATACACTGCTGAGGGGAGCAGCAGGCGAGACAGGAGAGGTCTGTTGCGCCATGTGGAACCCTTGCCAGCTGGCCGGGATCAAATTGGCGCTGCAGAGGCAGCAGACAGCTTCACAGCGCAGCGCTCAACCACCTGTGCCACCAGGGGAGGCTCCCCCTTAAAAGTTTTCAGATACACTTTTTGTTTGTAAGAGGATGGGAAGCTTTTTGCATATGCATGTCTTATTGATTTCTAGTTTTATTACATTGTGGTCAGAGAATATTTCTATAGACTATAGATGATCAGACACTTGAAACTCCTTGGAGGCTTAGCCTTTTTTGGTAGGTGTTCTTTCTGTGTTGGGAAGGAACGTGTATTCTGACTTTTTTGGATTTAGAGATTTTATATGTCCATTAGATTAAGACTGTTGTGGCCAAATCATCCATTACTGCTTTTTTCCTACCTGTTTTATGTAACCAAGACAGCCACCATCTCCCGTGATGAGTATGGCTTTGTCGATCTGCATTCACTGTCTTGTCTTTAGCATTTGCTGAGTTTTCTCTAACCTGTCTCTTAACTTGCTGCGTTCTCAGGGGTTGGTAGAGTCCTTTTTCTTTTTCTATGCTTACTTGGAAGTTGCTTTTTCTATTTCTGTATGGTTCACATTAAAATTTTTTAACCAACATACTTAATGTCAAATTTCATCACTCTCTGCCCTCCTCTGGGAAAATATAGGTTTTCAGGGACCTTGAAGGCCGTTCCTCCCATTACCATTTGCATTATTCGGTAGAGTTTTAAACAACCTTGTCTTAAAACTTTTCAAATAGTCATTAATACTTTCTTTTTTATTCCCCCCAAAAGTCAATACTTATTTAATTTTACTTGGATGCAAACAAGTTTCTTTGCCCACCACTGGCTCAGGCATCCACTTCTTTCTAGGTTGTCTCCCTCTTGATGAAGTATAACCTCTAGTTCATAGCTCTCAAAGTGTGGCAAGTAGGTCAGCCATGGTAGTCTCTTTCAGAAACTTAGTAGAAATGCTAATATGAGGCCCCAGCTCGTCCCTGGAAATCAGCAACATTAAGAATGGGCACAGTGCTCTGCTTTACTCTGAATCTATTTTCAAACCAGGTTAAGCACCTCTGCCCCATAGCAAGTTCAAGGAGAGTCTCAGAGAGAGGATTTCTTTGACTTCTCCATTAAGTGAATTTACCTGATTATAGGGTCTTGTTTAACAGTTATGCCCTTCAATATTCTTTCATGTCTTCTGCCTCTGTAAATGTTAATGAGAATATGTTGTCAATCAAATTACCTTTTCCTGTCTACAGGTAAATCTTTTCTATGCGGACACTGAATTTTTCTCTGATTTCTACAGTGTTACTGTCATGTGCTTTAAGAATGGTTTTCTTTTCATTCTGCTTTGGACTTACTGTGATTCTTTATATGAGGATCATTTCTTTCATCCATTCTGGAAAATTCTAAACAGTTGTCTCTTTATTTCATCTATCAGTAACTCCTATTAGGTATTTCATTTACTTTTATATTCTGTATTCCTTGTCTCTTAGCTTTTCATACTTTCTGTCTCATGTTACTATATTGTGGGCTTAGCTCTTCCAGCTGATTCCTAAGCTTTTTATAATTTTTCATCAGTTCATTTTGTCTGTTATTTCAGTGGCTGTGTTTAATTGCTCAAGGTTCTATTTGGTCTTTTTAAATTTGCTTGGTATTTTTAGTTATTGTTTTTATGTCCTGTTCTCCCCCCTTTTTTTTGTTCATAGTTCCAACTGTTTAATTATTCTTAAAATAGCCTCTTTCATAGCCTCTTCCAGATTATTCTATTATCTCTGGCTCTTGGGGCATGAAATCTTCCCTGCTATAAACTTTCACTTATCATTTTTTTCTCTCGAGGGGACTTTCGTTAACCTCCTAACTTGGCTTCCTGCACCTCAATTACTATGGACCATATACCCACTTGGATATAGGCTTGAGTTGTAAATTTATACAGGCCTGTTTCTTTTGTTTTTCTCCCATTTATGGTCTTGAACAAAAGGGGAGCTTCCTTGCAGCCTTCCTGGGCTGGTGTGTCGAGTCTTCTAAACCACTTTTCAGATGCAGGTTTTCAGCAGGGAAGCTGCCCTGGCTCCCTCAGGCAGATGTCTGCCTGTATCCCCACAGAGCACAAAAACTCAGCAATTGTCTAGGTCCAGTGCCCACTTCCTCGTCTAATTTTGAGTTTTCTGCTTATCAGGTACCTGAAGTTCTTCACCTTTTCCAAAGTTCTCAAAATTTCCACGTATTAGGGGAGCAGAAACCCTTTCTGTAGCTGCCCTGTGACTGGCGTTACTCAAGTGCCCTTGCACTGACGAACACTGTCTCCTCTCATGTAATGCTTTGTACTTTTTTTGAGAACTTTCTAATCAGCTGCTCTGCTTTGAAATTCACCACAGTCAGGAAGGCAAGGAAGATGATTCTTTTGCCAATTTTTCAGAAGCTCAGAAAGCTGAGTTGCCGAAAGTTACAACAGAGGTCAGAGCAGGAACTGGACCCACAGTGTGCTGGCCTCAGGGTGTCCACTGGACAGTAGTGACCTGGAAACACTCAGAACCAGCTGACGCCATGTCAGGTTGCATTTTGCTTAAAAAAGAAAGTATATTTAAGATAGGGAAAAGGGCTCTGACAGCTTTATTTTACAAGTTAAATTGAATGAAAACACGATGCCAGATTTAACAATTCGATCTGTCCTGTACAAATAATCTACCCCACACTTAATCCTCTTCAGTGACAGCTCTGTATGGGGGTCTTTTCAGGTGAATATAAGTGCTCATTCTTCTTATTCCATTGTAAAAATTACCTCTCCAGAGAAAAGATAAGCATTCAAAGGAGATAATGATTTCTCAACTTTCAGGCATTATTCCTCAGAAGAAAGCCAGAAACACCTCAATACTTTTCTCCTCCCACAGCCAGTCAGCACCTGTGAGACTGCAGTCAGACAAGGGAGGGAGCAACATCTTGAACTGCATTCTATAGGAAATTTGTCAGTGTAGACAACTGAACTTGCATTTTCAAGTTCAACATTCAAAATGATGAATGTTGAAGCTTTTTTTTTTTTTTTTTAACATATTCAGAAGAGTACCAAAAGCAAGAGATAGTTGCTGGGAATCAGATTTCTGGAAATGGAAGAGTATAAAAGTTTGCCCAGTCAAATCCTTCTGCTTAACTGTGAAGCAATTTTGCAATGTTAGGTTCATGTTCCAGAGTAACCGACACAGTCTCCTGCAGAAGTCAGGTGCAGAGCTGGCTTGAGATGACGAGAGGAAGCAGCTTTTCCAGCTGAATTCTCCCTGTCATAGTTAAGGACAGCAGGCGACACTGTCCCCACTAGAAACGTCACCCACTTTCCTGTGATGGTTTGCTTCCCTCCTATTGCTCTGGTTTCTGCCCAGATTTCTCTCCTTAGAGGTGGCTTCCCTGATCACCTCCTATAAAACAACCCTCAGGAGCTCCCTATCATTTTTTTTTCCTCATAGCATTCACTATTTATTCATTTATTTCTTACTGTCTATTGCTCATAATAGCTTGATGCCCTAGGAGGGAACAAGGAAAGGAATTTTTGATTTATGTGTCATTATTTCCCTAGTACCTGAAATGCCTTGCACTGAGTGGGTGCTTAAGAAATACCTGTTGAAGGCATATGAAAAAATGTTCAACATCACTTGTAATCAGGGAAATGCAAATCAAAACTACCATGAGATACCATCTTACACCAGTGAGAATGGCACATATTAAAAAAACTAGCAACAACAAATGTTGGTGAGGATGTGGAGAAAAAGGAACTCTCCTGCACTGTTGGTGGGAGTGCAAACTGGTCCAGCCACTGTGGAGAGCTGTGTGGAGATTTCTGGACCTACTAAGCATAGAGCTTCCATATGATCCAGCAATTCCACTCCTAGGTATTTTCCCAAAGGACACAGAAACATCAATTCCAAAGAACACCTGCACCCCTATGTTTATAGCAGCACTGTTTACAATAGCTAAACTTTGGAAACAACCCAAATGCCCAAAAATAGATGACTGGATCAAGAAGATGTGGTACATATACACCATGGAATATTACTCAGCATTCAAAAAAGATAAACACATGCAATTTGCAGCAACATGGATGGCGCTGGAAGGGATCATGCTCAGCGAAATAAGCCAGAAAGAAAAAGAAAAATACCAGATGGTCTCACTCATAGCAGGAATCTAGAAAACTTAAATAAGGGACCAGGAAAATGAATAACTATAAGAAAGAAAATATCAAAATCAACAAATAACTATGAACAAGAGACACTCTATGGAGGGTGGGGGGCGGGGAAAGGAGGGCTTGGGGTAAAAATAAGGGGGTTGTAATTGTATGGGAAATATAAAAATAAAATTTAAATTAAAAAACAAAGAAGAAATACCTATTGAATAATTCAGCAAATAAACCACTAAAGAATGAAGAAACTAGGTAGAAAGTCTTGGTTTGTTAGGTGATAATGTCTTTGTTGGCTAATGTCAGACCATATCCTTGGTCTTGTTTTGGTGTTTGTCCAGATACTGGCAAAATTTCTATTTTTTCTGGCATCAGAATTCATATATGATTTCATTCTGTTAAACACAGCCCAAAAATCAGTATGATATGTGGTCAAATCTAGTGTTCAATGGAAAATAAAAGGAAGGTTGGCTTAAAAACTAAGAACAGACCACAGGCAGAATAAATTATTTTTAGAATGTTCTTAAGATATATAAGTAAATGTGATTTTTTTTGTTGCTCTTGAATTTCAAAGCAAACCACCCATGTGATCATTGTTTTTTATTAGAGTGGTCATGTTTGTTTTGGCTCGTTTAATAGTTGTGTGATCATGTCTTAAAACGTGATGGAGGGGCAAGCTTTTGTTCTTCTCTTTATGACTAAGAATAAGTGTCAAGGTGTGAGGTTTGCAACCTGGAGACTCTTTACTCAGGATCATTATGCATTTTAACTTAGCCCAGAATGATACCAGCAGAAGTATCCTTGCTCAAATCTACACTCTCTTCTAAAAAGCAATGAGTTGCTCTAAGTTTGTACCTGTCACAGTTACGCCAAGTGTGTGCAGAAGATAGTCCTTTCTGCTGCATAATAAAATCGTCAGCCATGTAAGTGGCCTGGCTTAGGGTTCTGGCATTAGAATATTGTAAGCTACTCTATAGTATAACAAAGAATATTAAATGACAACATAAACTACTTTGCCTGAACAGATTCTAGAATTTTAAATAATGATAATTTGCTCAGTTATAGAGCCCACTCCTGTGGGTTCCCTCTTCTCTACCTCATGGAAAAGGCATTCCGGATTGAGCGAAGTCCTTGCTGGAAACCACTAACTAGCCAGGGACAAGCATTCTGACTCCCAAATTGGGGGCTTTTCCAGAACACTGATTTTATATTCTTTGACTAAAATATCAATTCACTTGCCTTTCTGCTCATTATGTTTCCTCTGAAAGATGTGTGTGTGTGTGTGTGTGTGTGTGTGTGTGTGTGTGTGTGTGTGTGTGTGTGTGTAAAACTGGGGTATAGACCTAAGGTGCAGGGGCAGGGAGAGTAAGAGGATTTACTAGAGACAGAGTGGGGAATGAAACAGATGGTTTTACTGAAATACATTGCTGAGGGCAGCAGCAGGCGAGACAGGAGAGGTCTGCTGTGCCCATGTGGGTTAGCTCCCTGGCGGGGGATGGATCTCAGGCCGAAATGGTGATAGCACTGAAACCTAACCCTTAGGACACCAGGGAGGCCCCAAAAGATTTTTAAAGGTTGAAGAATCTTTTCGCAAGGACCATATAGGTCATTTGGGGTTGTGTGTTACATTCTAAGAGCCAATAACTTATCTAAATTACAATCCAAAAAAAATTTTTTAATTTACACTTGACTCATATTCAGACAAAAGTCACATAGAAAGTATTTCAGTTTATTTATGTGGCATATCCCTGAAAGATTTCTTGAAAATCCCTGTAGTTGTTCTCAGGCGTGAAAGCCCCATCCAGTGTGGTAAGCCTTAGTCATTTCTAGAATTCTTTCAAGTGCTATGTAGACATTATGCAATGATCATATGGAAAGTGAGAATTTTAAGGTTTATGTCTCATCTAATTCTCTGAATGTTGGTTCAGTCTACATAAAATTTTAAGTGTTTGGTTAATATCTACATTTATAAATTTATCTTACAGGCTGTTCCTTACTCCAGAGAATTTAAGCAGAAATATGACTACTTTAGGAAGAAATTAAAGAAACCGGTGAGTAACATATCTTCCTAACATGCCACGGTTTAGTCATTTATAAATTACGAAAGTCACGATAGTAAAAATGACTTGATTGTTCTTTGATATATTTACTGAAAACATTACCTTCCTGTTATCACTTTGGTCCACCCAGATCTTTAATCTGAATTTTCTTTTTAACCTACAAGGTAAGTGAGGATCAACTTCGTATTACATATAAATGACCTGAAGATAATTTCTCATGTAATATATAAAGAGATAGAAACAATTTTTATGGGATCTATATATAATTTGGGACTTGAAAAAATCTGGAAAAGCCCTTGTAATTGCTGTGGTTATCAGATTCCATTAAACCTCAATCCTGGTTAGAAAATGCCCAGTTCTCGTCTTTAAATTCAAAAGTTATGATATTTAGATAAATTTTTATTAAATAAAATTATAATATTTAGAATGTAAGCACCTTTTCTAATATTTAACTGCAGTACTGGACATATTTGGACCGACTATGATTTTCTAATTGTGATTCTCACTGAGAAACCCTAAAGGTTTTTTTTTTTTTTTTTTTTTAATTTATTTATTTTTTTATTATTCAAATGATAAACCCTAAAGGTTTTTACGAAGCGGCATTTTAAATCACAGCACAACACCCCCTACTCACTGTCCGCTGACATCTCCAGTGTGTGTCTTCTGTTTTGACTTCTGGTTTCACCTTCCAGTGTGGATTTTACCAGTTTTTGCCCCACTGTGCACATTCCCTGTTGTGGCACTGGCCCCAGTTCTTGGCTGTTCCCCACCAGGGAGGGGGACCTCAGCCACAATCAGGTTATCCCCGCTGCCTGTGCCCCGTCACTGTCTCTCTGCTCCAGTTCCTCAGATGCTGTATTTTGGGGCTCTGCTCCAGACAAGTCCTTGAGGGGCGCAGGGATGCCTTGGCAGCTCCCACTTAGTGGTTCCCTTCTCTCTTCCAACACCCCCATTGAGGAGGCCCTTGGATAACCACTGAGAAGCAAATCGCATTTCACCACCTATGTTCTGTGGTGTTTCTTTGCTTATCTGGACTTTCTTCTGCTGAAACGTGTAGAGCTGACCGCGTTTCAGTTGCCAGGGAGTGAGCTCTGTGCCGGGTGGTTTAGAAAGCAGAGGACCATCACCTTATGCTCAGTTTTTTTGCAGCACCGTGGCTGGCAGGATCCCACAGCTGCTGGTGGGGCTCCATGTGCCTCGAGCTGCCAGGGTGAGGTTTTCCTCTTTGTGAAGAAAAATCCACAAATGAGAGATCCACTTGTCCACGGCGTGTTTAAGTCTACCACTATTTCTGCTCTTTGTTGTTTTTTTGCATTGGAAAGTATGTCTGTTTACTGTACACTGATGGACTTTTTTCTTTCTTTTGTGTAGGCTGATATTCCAAACAGATTTGAAATGAAACTTCACAGGAATAACATATTTGAAGAATCCTACCGGAGAATCATGTCTGTGAAGAGACCAGATGTCCTAAAAGCTAGACTGTGGATTGAATTCGAGTCGGAGAAGGGTCTTGACTATGGGGGTGTGGCCAGAGAATGGTTCTTCCTGCTGTCTAAGGAAATGTTCAACCCCTACTACGGCCTCTTTGAGTACTCAGCGACGTGAGTGTGCCGGACGCACTCCTTGATGCGTCCCCCTGCCAAGGGGATCTTAACAACTTCAGACTTAATGATGGGTTCAGTCACTTGAGATAAATTAACAATGCTGATTTCAGACCCTAAGCCCCAACCTTGTAGGTCTAGAAGGCTCTGACCCTACAAGGTTGAAATAATATTCTCTGAACACCTAGAAGGTGATTCTCGTCAGTTTGCTTCCTGTAATTGAAATTAAAAATGAGCTTGGTGCTTAAAGGGAGAACAAGAGGCAACTTCCCCATGTGATATTATGTTAATTCAGCAGAATTTATGTTAATTCAGCAGAATTTGTCAGTGTCAGAATTCAGACGTCGTCCTTGTCTTGAACAAGAGTGGTTCTGAGGTTCTCTGACTTAAGGCCAGTGATATAGACTCGGAGCACCCGTGCTTCAGAACCCAAAGGACCATGCCTGAGTCCTGCCAGATTCCCTTTGCTTTAGAGCTTCATCATCGTCAGGCATGGAAACCAAGGCACATTCAGCTGTTTTCTCAGAAACCAAACATTGGCCACTTATATGGCCAGCCATTCCTCCTCCAGGCTGTGGATCCTCCAAAGGCTTAGGCTAGCCCTAAGCCCCCCATAGAATAGTTGACCTTGTTGGAAGACAACCCTGTGCTCTAAGGGCCAACAGGACCCCCCCCCCCACATCTTCCACCTGCTACCAGTCTCCTCGGGGCACTTGGAAAGCAGCCTCAGTACATCCTTCTTGGCTGTTCTCGCTAAGAATCACCCAGCTTGCTGGTGGTGGTTGCTACCGAGTTCCATTGGAAAGCCCACTGTGAAAACTGATAAAACCAGTGAGGTGGGGGGGGAGGGGGGGAGAGGGTAACAAGGCAAGATGCTCACTCTCACCCACATTCCCAAAGATGCCCCTGGAGGAATCTGGCTATGGGGCCCTACCTGAAAACCACCGAGCTTCATGATTTTGAGACCAAAAGGGAGGATTAGGTACAAGCCAGCATTTTGAGGTTTGTGTTGTTGACACAGCCACACCTAATGGTTGGGCCCCTAGGAAAAATCTTCATCCTCAAACCAAAGCTGCTAAAAGGAATTAACCTTCCTCCTTAGAGGGACAATCTCAAGGACTCACACTATTGGGGACCTGACACAACCTCCCTGTGAGGTGCGGTCTCTCATCTTCCTAAGATATTCAAAGGAAACATGAAATTAATATTTCTATGGATCAAAAATAGTCCAATATCAGCAGTTTCTTACAGTTCAAGTTACAGAGGGCATTTGCCTCAGATCTTTAGATGGTGGCTGGTCACAGAAAGGGGGACATAAGTGGTGAATCCTGTCCCTAGCTTCACCTTTCCCTCAGGTACAGCACATCCTCAGGTGCACAGAGCTGGGTGATAGGCAGCAAAGCTAAGCTCACATTCTTGCATTTCTTATTTAAAAATTGATGGGGCTTTTTTTTTTCTTTTTTCCTCTCCTAAAGCGACAACTACACACTTCAGATCAATCCCAATTCAGGCCTCTGCAATGAAGACCACCTGTCCTATTTCACATTCATCGGAAGAGTCGCTGGTCTGGCAGTATTTCACGGGAAGCTTCTAGATGGTAAGTTATTAAAGTCCTGGAGTAATGGAAACACGGCCAGTGCTGTGTGCGGCAACTTGTTAGGTGCCCCAGATTTCATCGTAGACTTGAAGCAAAAGCATCTCTGTTTCTCATTAATCCAGTCAGTTGTTTTCATGTTTTGCCCAGCACGGAGGTGCCTTTTCCCTGGTGCCATCTTAATTTGAGCACTGAAGACATAGTGTCTACACATAGTTTAAAACAGTTTTATTTTAAAAAAAATGGTGTGAAGCACAGAACATTCTGTATCTGTGCATTTTCCATGTCTCCCAGACTATTCTTCAGCGACAGCTAGATTTGGTGACAGATGGAAACGCTAATTGGAAAGTTAATTGAAATGATCCAAATTTATCCAATATCCTGCCATTGTTTCATTTGTCCTCGAATTACACTTTTTTTAATATGACAATACTGTAAATAATTTCAAATTGACATTACAACTCCACTAACATCTTGACCCTGGGATCACAGGTGGGATATATGGCACAAGATACTCTCATTCTAATTTAGAGCATGTGAGTCATGGAAGAATTTCCAGGTGCAATGAAGGTTAGAAGTCAAACCCCCTTCCAGTTTTATCTGTTATCTTAGAATAGGGACTTCTGATAGATCTGGACACTTCAAAAATATAGTTGACCTTTGAACAATGTAGATGTTGGGGTATCACCCCCCACACACAATTGAAAATCCACATGCAACTTTTGGCTCCCCTAAAGATTAACTACTAAATAGCCTGCTGAAGACATAGTCGGTTAACACGTTTTATATGTAAAAATGTGTTATATATTGTTTCCTTACAGTAAACTAGAGAAAATAGTAAGGAAGAGAAAAATACATGTAGTGTTGCTACAAGCACATGTGTTTGCAGTAAAATCCGCATGTAAATGGACCTGCACAATTCAAATTGGGTTGTTCAAAGTTCGGCAGCAAGTGCCCCAAAGATACAGGAATCAGCTGTGAAAGAAGAGAACCAGAAATATTTTTGAAGAGTTTTGGGGTTGAGGATGGAAGACAGCAAGATTTGAGGCTGGCATTGCAGTTACTCTAGAGAGATTTCCAGAGGCATTTTGTTCACCTCATTTATGGAACCTCAGCGAGGCTGATAAATATTTGATGTGTTCTTTTTCTTTAATGTATTTTTACTCATATTTGCTAGATGATTTTGATCCTCAGATTTCAATATTTTATTTCTGGTGGGGCAGTAAACACTTATTTCTGATCAGGAGGAAACCACACTCCCTTTGTATGTGTATAGTGTGGCCATATTTTAATTCGCCATGCTGGAATCACGTCAGGGCTTACTTCAGCCTATTTGGAGTCCCTGCAGCATCCCTAGAGAGTCAGTCTATTTACCTTCAGCCCCCGAGCTGGCCCTCTGCTCGGACCGCCCTTCACTCCCACTCTTTTGTTTGTCCTGAGAAGTCCTGGCTGGCCCGGAAGCTTACTTGTCCCCCCGGGAAGTCTTTTTTTTTTTTATTTATTTTTTTTTTTATAATAAATTTTATTTTTATATTCCCCCATACAATTGCAAACACCCCATTCTGACCCCAATCCTTCCCTCCCGCCCCCCACCCCCCAAAAAGTGTCTCTGGTTCATAGTTTTTTGTTGATTTTGATTTTCACTTTCTTATATTCATTTTCCTGGTCCCTTATTTAAGTTTTCTAGAGTCCTGCTATGAGTGAGACCATCCGGTATTTTTCTTTTTCTTTTTGGCTTATTTCGCTGAGCATGATCCCTTCCAGCGCCATCCATGTTGCTGCAAATTGCATGTGTTTATCTTTTTTGAATGCTGAGTAATATTCCATGGTATATATGTACCACATCTTCTTGATCCAGTCATCTATTTTTGGGCATTTGGGTTGTTTCCAAAGCTTAGCTATTGTAAATAGTGCTGCTATAAACATAGGGGTGCAGGTGCTCTTTGGAATTGATGTTTCTGTGTCCTTTGGGTAAATACCTAGGAGTGGAATTGCTGGATCATATGGAAGCTCTATGTTTAGTAGGTCCAGAAATTTCCACACAGCTCTCCACAGTGGTTGGACCAGTTTGCACTCCCACCAACAGTGCAGAAGAGTTCCTTTTTCTCCACACCCTCGCCAACATTTGTTGTTGCTAGTTTTTTTAATATGTGCCATTCTCACTGGTGTAAGATGGTATCTCATGGTAGTTTTGATTTGCATTTCCCTGATGACAAGTGATGTTGAACATTTTTTCATATGCCTGTTGGCCATTTGCATTTCCTCTTCAGAGAAGTTTCTTTTTAGCTCTTCTGCCCATTTTTTGACTGGATTCTTTTCTTTGTTGTTGTTGAGTCTCATCAGCTCTTTGCAGATTTTTGTGATCAGTCCTTTATCATTAGTGTTGGGTGCAAAAATGTTCTCCCAGTTGGTGGGGTTTCTCTTTGTTTTTGTTATTGTCTCTTTTGCTGTGCAGAAGCTCTTTAATTTGATGTAGTCCCAGCTGTTTATCTTTGCCTTCACTATCACTGCTTTGGGTGATGTGTCTGTAAAGATGTCTTTGATGTGCAAATCCCGTAGTGTTTCGCCTATATTTCCTTCTATGTATTTTATGGTTTCAGGTCTTATGTCTAGTTCTTTAATCCATTTTGAGTTGATTTTTGTGTATGGTCTGAGGTAGTGGTCAAGCTTCATTCTTTTGCATGTAGCGACCCAGTTTTCCCAGCACCATTTATTGAACAAACTTTCTTTGCTCCAATGCATAGTCTTTGCTCCTTTGTCAAAGATTAGTTGACCATAAATCTGTGGGTTTATTTCTGGATTTTCTATTCGATTCCATTGGTCTGTATGTCTGTTCTTGTTCCAATACCATGCAGTTTTGATGATTATGGCTTTGTAGTATAGTTTGAAGTCTGGGAGTGTGATGCCTCCATGTCCTTCTTTTTTTTTCAGTAGAGCTTTGGCTATTCCCCCCGGGAAGTCTTTTGACCCCTTCCTGCTCTGGTGTCTTTTTGAGTATCACTGCCATTCTTACTAAACCTCCTCTGACTCCCCACCCCCCCCCAAAAAAAAAAAAAAGAAAAACACACACCCTGGTCCTCTTGGTCCTGCGCAGGCATTGCAGCGGAGGCCGCTGTTCTGTCTGGGTCTCTCGTTCATACTGAAGGCAGGTTCAGCTTTTAGGTTGAAAAACAGAAAAACAGAAAAACAAAACAAAAAAAAATGTCATGACTTTTCTGACAACCCAATATTTTGTTTTTGGATGCTCAACCATATAAACTCTTGAAACTAACCCAGTTTTTGCATATTTTAGGTTTCTTCATTAGACCATTTTACAAAATGATGTTGGGGAAGCAGATAACTCTGAATGACATGGAGTCTGTGGTGAGTAACAGCAGGCCCCTCTGGGCATCTCGGCCACCCTGGGGGCACAAAGGGCATGGGGACCAGGCGGGTGACCATTATGGGTGTCACCATTCAGTCAACACCAGGGACATTTAATAGCTCAGGAAGTTCATCGAGCCCCTGGGTTCCCTACGAAACCATTGTCCGCATTTCCTGGGCTTCGGGTCAGTACACACCTATCCCTGCTACCTCTGCTTACCTGCGCCTGTTGGTCCAAATGAAAGCCAAGGGGCGTCAGGAGACTTCATGACTGCTCATTTCCTGTCAAAAACTGCTGATACCAGCTGCTTAGAGATTCACCTGCCATCCTCGTTTTCTGACCTCAAAAAACCTGGTGGGTACAGGTCAAAAAGTCGATAAAGGAGAGAGTATTTGCAACCACCAACCGAGATGTGGAAGAGTAAGTGACTTCCACCACGTGGGAAAGGAATAAACACCTTCAGGAATGGCCACAGGGAGAAGTTTCCTGGAAGGCAATTGAGGCTCTGGGCTTGTATTTAACAGGCTCCTTTTATCTAGGCACACCCTTGTGGAGTTTAAAAGTATTTTCCATAACTACAAAAACTGAGACTTTTCCCGATAGGACATCATTATTCAAAGGAGTCTGATGAGTTTGTATGGGGCGAAGGCTTAATTTTAATTTCTGTGTCATTTTATAGGACAGTGAATATTACAACTCTCTGAAATGGATCTTAGAGAACGACCCTACGGAGCTGGACCTGATGTTCTGTATCGATGAAGAAAACTTCGGGCAGGTATGTGTGGTAGCCAGTGGCCCTGCTTTGACTTAGCCTTTGCTTCCTCGCAGGCTGGACATGACTTGGCTGGTCCATCAGAAACAACCACCTGGAGCTTTAGATGATAATTATCATCATCATATCAGTACCTCCTTGTCAGGCCAGGGAGCTACATCCCCAACCCACTCTTCTCCTCTAAATCACAGAAATTCTAAAGTCGCTGGGCTGTGACCCAGTGCCTGCGTCTAATCTAAAGTAACTCTGAACATGATGTTTCTGGCTTGGTTTTAGGACTTTTTTTTAAGTACTTCAAAAACAGGTGTAGTTGTTGACTTAGTAGTGCAAATGCAAGAGCATGAGAGAGTGATGTTTTTTCAAGGACTCTGGGCTTTCTTCTCTGCTTTCCTGCTCGGTCATCATGACAAAACATGTCTTGTGGGGCTCAGCGGGCTCGGATTTTTGTAGCATCGCTTCTTGCTTTGTACCTGCACTTGTCATTAGGCTGTATTCATCATAAAGGTCAAGTTCAAAGATACAGTTGCCTGCTTGGAATTTTCGTCATTCTAGTTTTATCAGACGTGTGTGTTAAGTCTTTTGGTTCACTTATCCCTGGTAATAATGATGCTTCTTGGGAGATCTGATCAGGGAATCAGCCCACCTGCTACCTGGACTTTCATAAAAGCTTGGAAATTCCCACCTCCCAGATCAAATCTAACGGCCTGAAATGAGGGCGCTCCTGGAGCCCATTTAAAGGGTCACCCTATAGAAAATGAGATTGATATTTTCCTTATTGCTTTGGAGAATTTTTTTTTAAGTCAAAAAGCTGCGTTTATGGTTTTGGTTGCTCCATGGTACTATACTTGGTCACAGGTGAAGCTCGGAGTCAGGTCCCTGCCCTCCTGACTTCAGAGTCTTGGGGAGAAGAAGCTGATGCCACTCAATAGAGGGATTAATGACAACTGGGCAAAAGTTGGTTAAACCAGAGATGTCAACGTTACTTTGTACTTGTGTGGGAGCCAGGAAATACCACTAGTGTGAGTCCTGGGGTGGGTGGGGCTGGGGCAGACTTGCCTCTCGGTTGGTTGGGTGAGATTGCAGAGACCTTGTGACGTCACGTAAATCATCACTGAGTCCATAAAACACCTCGTATTGTTCCCCCTCCTTTGCTCTCTATTCTGGAACTATCCTCACAGATAAATGACCCTATGTGAGAGCCCTGTCATGGGTGGGCGGAGGGAAGTCTTTACCGCAGTCCCCAGGGAACCTGTCCTCTCCAGGCCCGGGACCAAGTGTGCTAAATGTCTCCCAGCGCTTGCCTGCTTCCTTCCTCTGCTGACTTGATAATAAGACACCCCCAGAGCCCCCGCCTTGAAATGCCTGCCCGGGGCAAGCTCTCTGGTGCCTTATTCCTTCCTCCTCTGCTCTTGCCACTTTATTTTCCATCTCCTGGAAGGACAGACTGCTTCTGCTGCCCCTGCCCCCCGCCTGAAGACTCCCCTCAGCCAGCGGCTCTGTCCACTCCTGTCCACACCAGCACACAGACCTCATCCACACCTGGGGCTCCAGCTACATCCTTCTTCCTGCTACTCCCCATCACCTCTTGCCTCCAGTACAAACCTTCCAGATTCCCCATCTGACTCCTTCTCCAGAAAGGCCTGGGAGCCCCCACAAAACCAAGCCATTTCCTTCTCCCCACTCCCAAGCGCCATGTCTGCTCTGCTCTGATAGCGGTACTTCCGTTTCTTCCAGCCTGAGGCTCAGGAGGCGCCTTGGACTCCTGCCTCTTCTCATCATGCCCCCTCACCCTCATTAGCAGGCAGCATAGCCTGCTGGCTCTGTCTCCTTGGTCAGCCCCACCTCACCTTCCCTCACGCTGACTCTGCTGGTTTCTCAGCTGTGTTGCTGGAACAGCCTCCCTGGTTCCCATCCTGCTCTCTCTCCAGTCTGTCCTCCGATGCCCCCACATTATGCTCCATATGTCATGTTCCAAAAAGCAAATTTGAACTTGGAATTTTTCTATTTAGACGCTCATTCTCCATTGACCGACCTGTAACCTTCAGTGTAAATTCAAACCTTTTTAGCCTGGTGTATGAGCTGTGGCCTTATCGTTTGACACCCCTGGCCTCTAAGACACCCCCTAACCCTCGTGGTGGGTGCCACCTGGATAGAACGGAACAGATGAGGAAAGGGAGCTCACCTCATTTTTTTTAATGCTGAAAATCTTCTAAGTAATAGAAGCTACTAGTGTGAAGAAAAAAATACTTTGAATTGCATTACTTCTTTATAAACTGGATCTATAGAAAGGTCTTAACTGTCAGTTCTAAAAGGAGAACATGTGGTTAATCCCGGAATCTCTCTCTTCCTTTCATTTTTACACATGAAGGAAGAAGTTGAAACATAAAGAGCCAAGGAGGACTTAAAGTCAATTGTGTATCAAGGGCATAAAAAGGTCTCTCTAGGTGTTCACTAGTGAAAACCACACAACTCACTTAACTAACACACTTCAGAAGACTTCAACAATGCAGAAGGCAGCCATTAGCTGGGAGCTCTGCTAGTTAAAGCGAAATGTGACTACTTCCACTTAATGGATGCAAACAACACAAGATGTTGGGGTTTTCAAGTCGGCTTCTAATAAAGACACTGATGGTCAGTATAGATCATGTCAATTATACATTAGGAACACTTCTCAAACCCCCTCATTTAATGCTGTGGATTTTTCTGACCTCTGGATTGAATCAGGTAGACTTTGGGGATAATCAAAACAGACCCATGATGAGTAAGGTAGTGATTAGGTGCCCTATTTATTAAATCACTGCCTTCCCTTTTTAGAGTGCTAACCTGATTAGCAGGGAACTAATGTATCTATTTTGCATTCTGGGAAGAAATTCAAATTGAATTAAGCAGCCACTCGTTGATCTCCCGCATAGCCAGTCGGTCAGCACACCTGCTGATGCTGACTCCCAAATATCCCTCAAACCTACCTGTCCTCCCTCTGTTCCTCCACTAACACCCAGTCTGGCGGCTGATTTCTCTCAGATTCAGCCTCCTAAGTAGTCTCTCTATTCCCACCTTGGCCTCCCATAATGGCAGAGTGACCTTTTCAAAATGCACAGAGCTTTATGTCATTCTTCTACTCAAAATACTCACACTTCCCACTCCCCTTGGGATGAAAGACCCAGATTCTTCATTTGTCCTGTGGGGGCCCATGTGGCCTCACCCCACCAACTCCATCTCTAGTTGCACTTTGCATCACAGAGCAGCTGCTCATGCTTTCTGGGACAGGCCCCTAGACTGCTTAAACATACCGAGCTCCATCCTGCCTCAGGACCTTGGTCCATGCTGTTCTTCTGTTGGGAGCACTTCTTCAACCTCAGGTTAGTCACATCTTCCAGGGAGCCCCCGAGCAGGCCACATACTTCAGAGCATCTCCACTGTCTCCTGGTGGCATGTGCCATGGATCCATTTCTTTGTATGATTGCACTTTAGCCTCTGTCTGTCCACAGGCTGCCTCTGGTGGTGGTGGCATTGGGTCTGTCTTTCCCTCTCCACTGTGTACTCTCCACTTGGCGCAGTGTCTGCCGCAGTCTAGTGACTCAAAATGGAGTTGTTGGACCAAAATTGTGGACCTCCAGAAGATGCCTGTGCAAGCCCCTCACCTCTTTCCACCTCTGCAGAACTGCTGACTGTACTGCAATGTATTCTTGCCCCAGAGGAAGCCCACGCCTCCCTCTGGTAAAAGCTAGAAGTCATTTCTTCAATGGGTGAAGCTACTACAGAAGTGAAATATGCATGCAGCCAGGCGTCCTCAGTGCTTTGAGCTATTTACTTTCACTCTACAATTAGAAATCTCAGACCATGAAATTTGGGGGTAGCTGTCGCCTTGTGGAATGAAACTGCAGCTGTCACCATTATTTTGTGGTTTGTCCTTCTGGTTGGTGCGAATCTGGAGCTGCTGATTTCTGGGGCCTACTGTTTCAACTGAACAGATTGCAGTAGTTGCATAACCATATAGGCCTTTCAGACAGAATCAGCCGCACACCTGTGCCCTCATGCCCTCATGTGTGTGCATGCATGCACTTGCCACCACCACCAGGAGGAGGCGCCCTTGTGGAGCACAAGTTAAAATTCTTAATTACAAGTTCAGAGCAGCATCACGTGACACAGACTATCTGAAATTAGAAAGTGTGTAGAACATGGAGAAAAACACCCACACAACAAGGCCGTGGCCAGTCAGATGTAGAGGCAGAAGTCTGTTAGAGAAGTTTATCTGTGGGGAGTGAAATATCCCCTGTAAAATGGCCTGGGCTTTGCAGTTGAACAAACTTGGACTTGACCCAACCCCCTTTGCTGCTAAGCCTCACCCCAGTGGAAATGGAGGGAGGGACCTGCTCTAGGAACAGACAGTGATTGCTGCAGCCTGACTCAAGGGGGGGCAGTCTGCCATTGGCCAGCAGCAGCTTAGAAAACGGAGTTTCAGTAGCAGCCTCACTGCCCCCCAAAATGGTGTCTGTGAGGAGTCCCAGAAGGACAGAGAGTCCACGCCACTGAAAACCTGGCCTGAAGGTCAGCAACTGCCAGGCTCTGGGAGGGCCCACTAGGGAGGTGGCTCAGAGAAGGCTTAGCCTCCCTTTTCTGCCTGCCCTGAGCTCCCCTCCCACGGCCCCATTCCCCTGATTGTTTGACCCAACTTAGCACAGTAGCATGGCCTCTTTCTTTCAAAACGTTTTTTTAATATTCTCGATTATAAAATGTTAATCTTTGTCTTAAGAGTAAAAGCAGTACAATAAAAATCACCCATAGTCCCTGTCACTGGAGAAGAAAAATCACACACTCTTATATCTTAGAGAATTCTTTGTCAACACACACACATGGCTTTCCTTTTCCAGAAATGGAGTGTTCACTGCATGCGCTTCTAACTATCCTGATGACCTTTCCATGCCCATAAATACAGATGTGTGCAGATTCTAATGGCTACACAGAATTCCCCTGCGTCCACCATTCTTCTGTAACCACTTGTAGGCCTTCGGGCTATTCCAGTATTTCACTATATAAACAGTACAGTGAATATAATCCTAGAAGATATATATAATACTCTTAACCAGTTTTTTCCCTTGGTATAAATTCTAAAAGTGGAATTATTATGAAAAGGAATATACACATTAAAATTTTGATGCCAAATTAGCAATTATCTGTTGCCAAATTATCACCCAAAAAGGCTGAACCAATTAGACACTCATCAACAGTGTGGATAAGAACCATTTCTCTGCAGCTTTGTCACCTCTGGGTGCTGCCTTGGGGGCACGAGGGGTATTTTTCTCCCTTCCCCTTCCTACTATCTCTCATCTGTAGTTGACTCCCTCAGTCAATAGCTCTTTGGAAATTGCAACTCCCAGAAAATAAATCCTTTTAGTGTAGCTGAACCGTGCTAAATGCTTCTCAATACCAATACCAAGAATGGGGTTGGATTTATTAACATGTTGTTTGCCGAGGATCTGATAGAAAGATTCCCTTACCTTGGAGAGTAGCAGGATACTTTGAGGAAGAATAAATGAGGGGAGGGCCTCCCCTAGTGGCACAGCAGTTGAGCGCTGGGCTGCGAAGCTTCCCGCAGACTGCAGCGCCAGTTGGATCCCCGGCCGCCAGCGAGGGTCCCACATGGCACACAGACCTCTCCTGTCGCGCCCATTGCTCCCCTTAGCAGTGTATTTTGTCAGTCTGCCTGTTCTGCTCCCCGCTCTGGCTCTGGTGAATTCTCTCACCCTCCTGCACTTCTGATTGTGCCCAGTGCTTGTACAAATAAATAAATAAATCTTTAAAAAAAAAAACCATACTCATAGTTATTACCTTTGAGTAGCAAGGTTTAGGTGGTATTTTTCCATTTCAACATTTCTGGAGGTTTTACTTGTAAAATAGTTAGGCCTCTACCCCTTTCCCTTTTGCCAGCTGCTGCTTTAAGGTGTGATGTTGAGCTGGGGTGGTCACTCTCTGTGCCCCAGGGCCCTGCAGAGATTCTGTTGGGAAGAACAGGCAGGGAAGGGCAGAGTCTGGCCTGGGGGGCAGCTGGACCCCTGAGTCTGGCTGCTTAAGCAGCTTTTTTTTTAACTCTCCAATTGCCTCTTTGAGATATATTTCACATGCCATTTTTTATTATTATTTTTATTTTATATATTTTTTACATCATTTTTCATTTTTTGCACAATGTATGCATTTTCATCTTGGTTATAGTCCCCATACAGTTCCCACACCCTTGTTTTGATCCTACTCCCACCCCCACCTCACCCCGTAGTGTATCTCTGGTTTATAGTTGCTTGTTGATTTTGCTTTTTACATTATAATAAGGTTTTTTCCTGGTCCCTTATGTAGGTTTTCTAAATTCCTGCTATGAGTGAGACCATCCAGTATTTTTCTTTTTCTTTTTTACTTATTTTGCTGAGCATGATCCCTTCCAGCTGCAAATTGCATGAGTTTATCTTTTTTGAATGCTGAGTAATATTCCATGGTGTATATGTACCACATCTTCTTGATCCAGTCATCTATTTTTGGGCATTTGGGTTGTTTCCATAGCTTAGCTATTGTAAACAGTGCTGCTATAAACATAGGGGTGCAGGTGCTCTTTGGAATTGATGTTTCTGTGTCCTTTGGGTAAATACCTAGGAGTGGAATTTCACACACTTTTTAATGATGCTTAAATCTAATTTTCAGAAACAAGTAAAATACATTCAAATTTGGATCTCTAGTCTTGATGGATGTACCTTGTTTTTTTTGTTGTTGTTGTTGTTGAACATAATTAATCCCTTGATAAATGCATAGCAAATAAAAAACTTTCCTATTCTCCATTGTGGCTAATAGATGAAGAATAATTAAAACTCATAAATAACCATTAAATAATTTGCCTTCAGTGATAACATCTTTAAATGTGTAACATCATAACAATTTTCAAGCCTTGTTAGACATTCTCTTGTACACAGAGCCCCTTTGCAGGGAGAGATTTCTGAATACATTGAAAATGAGACATTATTACTCAGTCATAAGATGCAGAATAACTTCACCATGGTGATCATTATTTTATCTTTGCAATTACAGACGTATCAAGTGGATCTGAAGCCCAATGGATCAGAAATCATGGTCACAAATGAAAACAAAAGAGAATATATTGAGTATGTATACACACATTTACAATCTTACTCAACTGAACAGTAGATTGAGTTCACACTTTGGCAAGAATGTGAGCTCCTTTCTGGCTAATAGGAAGGTGACTTATGGGATGAAGACTGTGATTTTATCACGACGTTGCCAAGCTGCCATGGGGAGGAGCAGTGTCAGGAGGAGGAGGTCTGCGTTATTGAGCAAAATGGCAAGTGCTCTTCGAGTCTGTGGCTAGTTAGTCTAAAATTGAGAGTCACATCACTGGCTGCCAGAGACTGCAGTGACCATTAGCGACTCCTGGGATGAAATTTGGCACAACCAAAGATAAGATAGTTTATCCTTCTCCTAATTTCTTTTCTGTCAAGAAGATAGCTAAAAATGAATAGGGAAAAGTCAGCACATGCCAACATGTGAGTTATTGCTGACTACTGTGCTTTTCTTAACCCAGTCTCACAGCAGTTGGTGGGACAAGTCAGTGCACCCTTAGAAGTCTAGCTTTGATGGTACCCCAGGGCAGTTTGTACTGGGCAGAAAAGTTTTCTTAGGTGTATCACGTTTTCCTCTCTGGTATATATGTAGCTTCAAATGTGCAATTCTGGGCCGAGAGTGGCCAAGTGGCCTCGCCAGCCCAGTGCCAGGTGCAGTGAGAGGCTCCTGTTTGGCTCTGTCGTGGCCTTGTACCTTGTCCAAAGCCAGTGCCCTGTCAGCTCATAGGGCCCTTCTTCCCTGCTTATCTTAGTTGGTCAGAGGTCTTGGGAGGAGTGGCCCAGGGTCTTGGTCTACTCGTGTGCTCAGCAAAGAAACAAGTACTGTCCTTCCTCATTAGGAAGAAAGGGAGGTATTGGGGTCTCTACTTCAAGACCCTGGAAAGCATGGTTTATTATTGCATAGCAGACGACCCTCTCCTCTTCGAAGTACAGACTTTGAATAGGTCTTTAGAACCACTCCAGCCCAGGGGGTTAGGGTCAAAAGTCTGAAGACTGGGCCCATGTGATGTGTGTTAGGTGTCGTTCTTTGCAGTTAATTCTTCCAGGTAACACTTTGGTGTGGAAGGAGGTAACATTTTGGTGGGGAGGGTGTCAGGCAGTGTCAGCCGCTCTGATAAAAGGATGGTTGGAATCTCTACCTGCTCCTGAGCATGTATTCCCTGGCGCAATCAGCAGCCTTTCAGACTGACAGCTGCACAAAGCTCAGCAAAGGCTGATGGAGTGAGCAGGGGCTGCACAGCCTGGTCCTCAGGCCCGTTGCCATGGCGCCACACCCTGGGTGAGGCCTCTGTGATGAGCTCCTTGTGTATCTCAGGACAAAACGCCTTAGATGGAATCCAAAGTGAATTCTCTGGCAGCCAGATCTGCTTGTGCGCTGAATGTTATCACAGGAAAAATGGTCTCTGTGGATCTGTTATGTAAAGAGGACTTAGCATTTGCCCCCCAATTTTGGTATGAAAGTGTTAGTGCAGTCATTTTGCTGATAAACTATATGTCAGTGTTGAAAGTATGTATTCTAGAATGAAATGTCAGTGACAAAACATGTTCTACTAGATACCCCCTTTAAAAATGTATGTACCTGTTTATACAGGTGTGTGTGTGTGTGGTACACATATGCCCATGCCCTCTGGCCTTGTCCTTTTTCTCCCCTAGTCGCATATACACAGCAATTTTGATCAAAAAACATTACTGGAGGGAGAGGAGAGAAAGAAAGCAGTTAGTCTTTTGAATCCTCTGGGATTTGAGGTTTTTCACGCATTCTTGAAAGAATTGACTAAACACCGGGTGAGACACAATTGCAGTTGTGAGATAAGAGGTGAGCGCTGGTGACAATGGAGGTACTTATTATATATGGGTCCTCTCTCCCGCAGCTTGGTCATCCAGTGGAGATTCGTGAACAGGGTCCAGAAGCAGATGAACGCTTTCCTGGAGGTCAGTGTGCCCTGGGGACTCAGCCCCCACCCATCGGCACAGGGCGGGGGGATGGCTTCCCCTTAGGTGGGGCTGGAGGTGCTCACGCCCGTCCCCCCAACAAGCGGCTGTGGCTGCACTTTGGTCCTCTGTTAGCTTGGGTTTGTTTAGTGACCCTTAGCTTTGCTTCTCTTGTGTTTTTAAGGGGAACTCTTTACAGACTTAACCCAGAAGGGTAAGCCCCCCACAGAGACCAAATCACTGCCCTGTTGGGGAGCCCAGGGGACGGCTGGGAGACACAGCGCTGACCTGTGCTGGGGTGACAGCACTGGAGAGACGAGGGCTCAAGAGTGAACACCTGACAGACAGCTCCCAATCTGTCACCCCACCCCGAAGCCGTGCCTGCCCTGTCAGTGCTCAGACTGTTGTTTTTATTCCCTCCCTTCATGCCCACGTCTTCTTCACAGACTTCACCCCTGTGCAGGTCCACGTCAGACCCATTTTTGTAATCTGGGTTTTCTCGTGCCCCAAGTCACTTCATGCCAGCACCCCTACTGTTATTCATGTCATTCAGATCCTAGTATTTCATGTCAGCTCCACAGCCAGGCCTTGGGGAAGGGCCCCAGCAGAGGATGCTGGAACTCATCATTTTAAAAAATTAGTTGCCTGGACCAAAAGCGAAATTCCTTGTTAAATCTTGATGCTTATTAGTTAAGGAAAACACAGGAGCAGGCCCAAGGCCACAAAACAACACCCCACTGAGCCAACGAGGGTTCTTATTCAACTGTGGTCCCCCGACTGTCCCCGAGTGACCTGCGCTTGGTGAGCCCAGCTCTAGCCAAAAAAGTTCCAGGACTTAGGCCATAAAATGTGAATTAGGAAGAAGTGGGGGATCGCAGGTTTCATTATTTAAGTAACAACGCCCGGCGGCTGTCCCAGCCCCACCCGGGTGATGCACAGGCCCAGCGCCCACCACGTGCCAGGCAAGTGGCTTGGGGGCTCCCGGTCCCTCCACAGTTAGCAGTGACCCAGAAACTGGAGCAGACTCCGGCCTCCCGGCCCCTTCCTGCTTCAGCTGTTTGCCGCCATACCTTCTTTTAACCACGTCGCCTTGCGTGTCTATGGCCTGTGCGTGTAGGACACATGGACATAACACAGGCACACGGCGTTTTGTCCTGAATGGTATTTGGAATTTCCCTGCCTACACTAACCCATATTTTCATGGGGTTTCAACAGTTACCTGAACCTTCTAGATCCTACTACTTTTCAAAATCTCTATATTGTGATTGTGCTGTTTTTATTGAAACTGCAGTTCTGGATATGGCCATTGATAAATCTTCGGTAAAGAAAGAATTTTTCCTACCTAACCAAAACACATTTGTTTCCCCTGTAAAATATTCCTTTGAAGGAAAATGTATGTAGAGTGATTGTTTTTTTGTTTCTTTCAGGGATTCACAGAACTGCTGCCTATTGATTTGATTAAAATCTTTGATGAAAATGAACTGGAGGTTCGTACTGCACACATCTTCTATAAAGTAGATTTTTCTTAAGGCACCTCTTACAGAAATGCTGTTTTAATCTTCTCTGCTCCATAATGCCCTAGGCGTAAGCTCAGATGAATACATGGCTCTAAGGGGCTTGTCTGTTCTCTAGTGTAGGGGGGAGGGACAGCAGCTGTCCCATGTAGCCCCCTGGCCCAGGAGAGGTCAGTTCTGAGACACCAGGAGAGGCCGGCTGAGCTGGGCAGCTGTGGGGCCTGGCGCTCCAGCTGGGGAGCAGTGCTGCAACTCAGGTCATTGGGGCAGGCTGGCCGAGGGCCTTGTGCCTCCACTCTACCCCTCCATGGCCACCAAATGGGGTATTGGCCAGGAGGCGAGTGTGAACAGCCACTGGGGCCCGTGGACCTCATGTTTCAGTGAACTTGACTTAAGTTGAATGAGGAAAACATCAGAGCAACAAGGAACTAGCAGGAGGTCGCTTAAATATTAGATTGTTTCAGCTCCTTTGTGTGGACACTGGCAAGAACTAGCTATTTAAAAAGAAAGGGATCACTGATTACTGTGTTGAGAAAAACGAGGAGGAGAAGCTATTGATGGGACTCCATTTTCCACTTGACCAAGCCACATGCAGCGAAGCATGTCTCACAGACCACTGTCTGTTCTTTTTTCTTAGCATGCAAACTTGGAGATCGATGATGTCACAGAAATCATCCTGTGTGGGGTGGGGGAGGCTGAGGCAGGGAGACTGCAGTGACCGTGCAGGCTCGCCCAGCAAAGCGTTGGTGCAGTCAGGGCCAGAACCCCATTTGTCAGGCCTCTGTTTAGTGCTTCCTTTTACACCAGTTCCTCTCCAGGAAGAGCACAGGCATCACCCACAGCAGCCTTCCCTGAAAGAGGGGGCGAGCCAGGAAGGAAAGCAGCCCGGGGCTGGCTGGCTAAGCCACAGAATCTGGGCAGATGAGGCCAGTTGCCGTCACCGGGGTTGACGTGGGAGATGAGTCCTCGTGTCGTAAAGCCTGATTCTTTTGTGGGTGGGAGGTATTTTCATATAAGGAGACAAATGACCTCCCAAAGGGGGACAGCTGAGTAACGAGCAGATGTAAATGGAGCGTAGGAAAATCTGTATGCACTGTGCTAAGATTAGAGAGATGGGGAGATGGGTGGATGAGTTTTCACTTCCAACATGAGATGCCGTGGCCTATGCGTGCGCTTCATTAGGTCCCCTCATTACCTGCACGATCTCCGTGGCCTGGTGCAGGTGAAATTCGGAGTACCTGCTCCCCTTCACCTGCTTCTGTGAGCTGCCGGCCCATCTGCTTTGCACGGGAATAGATGCCAGTGTCGTGGAAGAGGCCGTTTCTCCGAGGGTGGCATTGTCCTCTCTCCTGCCGCACCATTTACCTCTGGTCCATCTCCTCCCTAGTTGCTGATGTGCGGCCTTGGCGACGTGGATGTCAACGACTGGAGGCAGCATTCTATTTACAAGAACGGCTACTGCCCTAACCACCCGGTCATTCAGTGGTTCTGGAAGGTAAGGCGGGGCCTCTGCGGCCAGCCCGGCTCCTCCACCTGACTCAGGCCTGAGGCCTGGGCTGCCTTCCGCTATCTGGCTCCAGGATAGTTGCTGGAAATTGGGGCTGTGAGCACTTGGCTGCTGGGGGAGAGAGGAGGCTCCTGGGGAGCAGCCCCATGTTCCACTTACTCCAGCAGACAGCTCCTCTGATGGAGCAGGTTAGCCCTTAGTCACGCACTGTCCTTCCTTGGCCTCCAGATGAAAGCAGCTTCTGTTGAAGGATCCCATTAAGTAGAATAGCTGGAAAGTAGGTAGCTGGACTCAGAACTGGGACGAGTTCTCCAAAATGTAAATAAAATAGACTTCGCACGGCTGAAGCATGCTTTGGGGCTAACTTTTCCAAGATGCCATTTTGGCAAAAAAAAAATCGTTTTCCCACTTTTTTAGTTAATCCCAACAAACATCTTGATTTTCATGTCACTCAGTCAGTGATGGCAAATGAAACCTTGGTTTGCTGTCTGAGGGCCGGTGTTCTCATTCTGTTCCCCGCAGGACAGACAAGAAAGAGGAGGGAGCAGGCCCAAGGCTAAGCTGAAGACTGACAAACAGCTACAGGGGAAAAACTGTTTAGTGCAGAAATAAATCCTCTAACTTATTTCCCATTTCTGAGTGTCTATTACTAACACTATTTCAAGTGCCAGCTGAAGTGTAGAGACGAAAAGAAAAAAGTAGAATCTTCAAATCCTAATCCAAGTCTCAATCAGCTTTGATTTTTTTTTTCTTGCACTTGAAGTAACAGTAAAACTGACTCAATGGTTGTCATAATTCAGATATGTAAGACACACCCATTATTTTCGAAGCCGACCCACTGTTTCCTTCCTTCCCTCTTTCCTGCCTGCTTATAAAATGTTCTCTTTAGAAAATTTCGTCTGCCGTCTGAAATCCCACCTCCTCACAGCTCCCTGGTGTTTGACGCTTCTCACACTGCGTGTTTATCGTTGGCCTGAGGGGCTGCAAGGCTCCTGGGCAGAAACCCAAGTTCAGTGCCATCAAAGAGTTTGCTTTTTATGTCATTTCTTTTGACCTGCTGGCAGAAGGGGAAAAGGGATGTTGCCATCTCTTGCTCCCTAAACGAGAGCGGCCAGTATTGTGGCCTCGAGAGAAAGGAGGACCTGAGTGTCAGAGCCCGCCAGCCGGGCCTTACCTGGGTGGAGGGAGGCCCATCCCACCTGTCTGAGCGACCGCCCGCTTCTCTTCCAGGCTGTGCTGCTGATGGACGCTGAGAAGCGGATACGACTCCTGCAGTTTGTCACCGGGACATCCCGCGTCCCTATGAACGGATTTGCCGAGCTCTATGGTGAGGGGGTGCTATGTGGTTCCCCCTCCTGTGACTTCCTAGGTGGGCCCCACGCGGGCCCCTGAGACACAGCCCATGCTCTGCCTCCACCCAGAACCGCACCTGCAGGAGAGGTGGCCTGTGCTTGTCCCGGGCTGCCTAGAGCATTACCTTTGTGGGGTGGTGTGGGGGGTGGGGGAGTGGAGTGGTTTGTACAGAGAGCCAGAGGCTAGTCTTGTTTTCTTGTACTTTATATAATCAGTTTTTGCAGAATCCTCTACTTGGTTATAACCAAACGTTTTAAAGGACTCCTCACCTACATGAGGTAGAATTCTTCAGTATTTACTATAGATTAAAAAATTGCTTTTTCTGCCGCATATTGAGGTTCATGTTTCACCTTTTTGCCTCCCAAAATCATTGTAAATGTAAATGTCCAGGGGTCGGCTGAGAGGCCGCAGCTGTCTGCCTTCCCTGTGTTGGTGGGTCTGTTAAAGTGGGGGCCATCCCATCCTGAAGGTGCTGTCCAGGCCTTGTGTCCCCAATACCAAATGTTAACTATTACGTGGCAAGCAAAGGGGGTGGCGCCGCCTACTCTTGAGGTTACACCTTCATGAGGAAGGGATCCTGTGGCCTCTCACACTCACCTGTCTGTCTTTCTGTGTTCCAGGTTCCAATGGTCCTCAGCTGTTTACAATAGAGCAATGGGGAAGTCCTGAAAAACTGCCCAGAGCTCACACATGGTGAGTGACAAAATCCAAGTCATCAACAAGCAGTATTTTAAATATTTCACCGCATGTAGCCCTGAGCTGGAATCTCTAGACAGCTCCGTACCCAGCCCTGGCGCTGGCAGCGTGCAATGTCAGTGACACAGGTAGAAAGAGAAGCTGTACGGTAACGCTGATAAAACCCAATCCAAGACTTGAGCGGACCTGCGCCTTTGGCTCATGAGGGTTAAGCTCTGGGGAATTCCCCCCCCTGCAAGCCCTGTCTTCCCTAAGAATTCTAAGAAGCAGAGGTTCTGCTGCCTGTTTGCCGTACATGGACAAACAGCTCCCCAGCTCAAAACACTGGATTTTAACTCATTGGTTGTAGAGAATTTGGGATAAAATTCCCCATAGAAAACTTGTTTTTAAAGGCCCACCATAGCTGTTAGTAGCCCCTAAGTCTCTCCACTTTGGTGCCAACGTGATGGTGGAGAGAGTCAGAGGTCACACACAGGACCATTGTCCGGGGAAACGTGGAGTGTGACCGCCCTCAGGAGGCCTCCCCAGACTGGGCGAGGAGGCAGCAGGGTGTCCGTACCACTGGAGAGTCCCATAAATCCCGCACAGAAGTGGACTCAGGCGCTAGGCCTTCACGGGGCTCTCTGGAAGCCCCGGCTCGCCCAGGCCCTGGGCCCTCATGCAGGCTCCCCGGCTCTGCTGTTCCTCCTGGCTCTGTGGGAAGCCAGTGGAAGTGGTGGTGGTGAGCAACCCGCCCGCCTTTCTCACGGCCTGAGTTGGCCAGACTGTGCAGCCTGGTGCGGCTGAGCTCTCCTTCACCTCCATGTGCCAGCTCAGGGAGCGCGGGCGCGAGAAATACTGTCTGTGAAAGGTTTTTGCTTCTGTTTGACTTGTACCATTCAGATGTCTGGATGGAATGAACAGGGCCGAGGCCCCCTGGAAAGCCAGCCCACATTGCAAATATCTAAAGCGGTCTTGTTAGCCCTCCCTGCCTCTGGGGGGGGAGGGTGTTTTGGTTGTTTGGAGCTTTTATTCCAAACAAGACTGGAGTCATGTAGTTTTCTGATTATAATTGTCTCCATTTGAAAGGCAGCTAGCCCAGGGACTGTGGGTTCTCTCAGCTTACTAGGTCTAGTCTCTGGAGTACCAGCTAAATAAATTATGGACCCAGCTGCCTCCGCAACAGGAACCACCTAGAAAGTTTAAATAAAAATCCTAATGCCAGGGTCCCACCTCAGGAGATGAGTTGGACTTTGTTGGTCCACTGTGTGGCCTGGACACTGATTTCTCCAAGCTCCTCAGGTGGCTGGCTAGGGTTTAAAATCACTGCTTTTCCCTAGGGAGGGTGAGGTCTACCCAGAGTAGGGAGGCACTTTCCCAGAGATGGTCTCCCCGACTAACTGTCCCCTGGTGGGGAGCAGTGGCAGTGCAGGCTACGCAGGCCAGCCAGTGTGGAATGGGCCTGGCTCTGCTCCAGACAGGTCCAGATTGTTCTGTAATGGAGGAAGCAGACATTTGCTAGCACAGCAGTCCCACAAATGCACATGGCCCTAGATATGTTTAATTTCTTTCACGTCTTATTAAAATATAAAATATACAAGTTTCAGAATAAAAACCTGGCTCACCAGAAGAGCTAGGATTCAGTGAGCTAATAGAGAGAAAGTGCCTAAATAAGGCTGATGGGCCTGGGACATATGTTTTACTAGCCCTGACAGTGTGAGTGGCCATCTTCATGACAGGTACAGGTCAGCAGTCCACCCTACAGACTTCCATCTGTGACCCGCTGCTTGCACCCCATGTGGGCTTTCACCACCCGTGGGCGCCCACCATGTGCCTGGTGCTGTGTCTGTTTCTGTTGACCCTCCTAGCACCTGCAAGCACTCCCCATTTCGCAGAAGAGCAGACAGGTGCAGAGAACAAGGTGGCGGCCCAGAGTGACCAGCAGGTCTGGCACAGCCAGAATTTGAACTTGGTCCTGTAGACAAATGGGCTTCATGGCTCCCAGAAGCCTTCGTATGTCTGAAGACCTCACTATCAGCATGTGGTTTGAAACCCCTCAACCAGCTTCCTGACACTTAGGGGCTTGTTACAAATGAAGCGTTTCACTCTGAATGTCGGTTCCTGCAGAGCAGATTAACGTGATTTAGGGCTGGGGTTGTGGAGCCGAGGGTTTGTGTTGAGCCTGCCCAGTCTTGCTGACTTTACCCTCTGTGCCTCTGGATTCCCATTGCACAGTGGAGGACTCGGGGCCTGCTGGAGAATACGTGAGCACATCAAAATAGACACAGCCTCAGTTCTCTGGTGATTCCTATGGCGAGTTCTCAGTCCTTGAAGGGTTAGAAATCCTATGTCTCTTACCTCAAGTTCATGCCACCCACCCAGCGGGACTTTTACAGGACCTGGCTGTCTGAGCTGGGTTTCACAGATAATTAGAAACCTGCCCTGTGTTCTGTAGGCCGCGTAGCACTTCGAGCGAGGACAGTCTCATTGCTTGATGTGAGCTTCTAATAATCAGAATTTAGTTAAGACTGTCACAGCTGGGCCTCCCTGGTGGCTTAGGGTTTAAGTCTCAGCACTAACACCACCACAGCCTGAGTTCGATCCCCGGCCAGGGAGCTACCACACATGGCGCAGCAGACCTCTTCTCTCTTGCCCGCTGTTCCCCTTAGCAGTGTATTCAGTAAATCCACCCTTATGCCTCCTCACTCTGTCTCTGGTGAATCCTCTCACCCCCTGCACCTCTGGCCTGCACCCCAGTTCTTCTACACTAAAAAAAAAAAAGACTTTCACATCCCCAGACCAGACACTCAGTGCCCCCTAGCCAGCCCTCAGAAGGCCGCTGTGACCAGGAGGTGATGATGCTGGTTCTTGACCTGCACTTCTCGTTGCTTTTGCAGCTTTAACCGCCTTGACTTACCTCCGTATGAAACCTTTGAAGATTTACGAGAGAAGCTCCTCATGGCTGTGGAAAACGCTCAAGGATTTGAGGGGGTGGATTAGTGGCCCCCAGCCTCGAGCGGGTGTTCATCTAGCAAGCCCTGCCTGCACTTTCGCATTTGCCTGACAGACCTTGCAGAGACCACGCAGAGGAGCAGTGTCTGGGCCGGGGCTCCCTGAGCCGCCTGCGCCCGTGACTCGCCCAAGTTCAGCGGAACCCAGTCCGGGGGCGCGTTCCTGCATTTTCCACTACAAATTATCAACTGGTTGATGTGTCCACGAATATCATTTCAGGAGGACTTATTCTATTTATGTTGTGCCTCTGTAGGCCAAGCCCTTAATAAATATTTTACATACTTTATAATGACAATGAATGGAATTAATCACTCTACAGGTATAGTATTACAACTCATGTTTACTTTTTAAAATGATTTAGACCGATTTTCAGATTTTATTTCATTACGATTAAAGATGTCTCATGTACTTGGAAAAGTGAGCATATTTTTTTTGTATTTGAATTTCATACCAGGTTTAATGTCAGTGACATTTTTATTTTTGAAGTACTTTGACACCCCCACCCTCTACTTTATTAGCATCGGAAGACTGATTTTTGTCGACAAACCTACAGACGAGTACTTTCAGAGAATTTAAAATAGAACATTAGGCATAATGATCATTTTTTTTTTCCACACCCAGAATGAAAACAAACTGGATATGACATTTTTTGGACAAATTGAGCATAATAGCTCCAGGCCGAGAGAACTGAACACAGCATGACAAATTTTGTGTTGACTTGAAGGAATCACACCATTATTCCTCAGAAGTGATTACGTGACCCACGGCACATTGAGACAGGGTTGGACTATTATTTCTCTTCAGAGAAATTACTTAACCCTTCCCAACACTGTACAGTCATCCTTTTATTCTATTTTCTCTTTGCTGTTTGTAGTGGCGACATTTGAATGAAACTTGGCCCTGCTCGATCTGAAGCTGTGGAAACCAGATTTGTTTAGTCTGCTATTTGTACGCATTTGCTGATGGTAGCTGATAACCGATTTTTGTTCTAACCGTTCCGATTCTGAAGGCACTTTATGTACCCCGTGGAGGTCAGATCTGGTTCTGTGGATGTTTCGTTTTTTTATCATAAGCATTAAATGTGATGATGATTCCCTCTCGCTGCACATATGGTGCCAGTGCAATATCAGTTGTGACTCGCTGCTGGTGTATAAACCCTGATGTCAAGCTGAGCCTGCAGGCCTGCCCTCCCGATTGTTCTATGGTTTCCACTCAACTGCGAAGGTTCATTTAATAGACACTTGATCTCCCCGGGTTTCGTTACCTGTGACTTGTTGCATGCTCCAATGCTGTCCTGCCTGACTTGTGTCTCTTCTGTGCTTGATTAAAACAGAGAAGACTGGGTTGGATGCTCAGTCAAGCTGTGAAGCTGCTGGTGTGTGGGATCGAGGGGCTTTGCAGAGGCCCTGTTAGTTCTCCTTGCGGATCTCTGTCCTGTTTGGAGAGAGCGCCTGAGGCAGCATGGGGATCCTGCAACCCCACTGTCCTCTCAAACCCAGTTGCCCTGGTCCCTGTTGTGGCCATCAAGGGACACTAGAGATTCGATCGCTTGCCAGTTGTAGAAAAGACCAAAAATATTGTGATTTCAAGGCCTCCGTCTGTTATGTAAGAAAAACCTTTTGAGGAAAAAGATTGATTTGTCCTCAGCTCTGGGTGGCTCATGAGAAGCTGTCGATGTTCGTGGTTGTAAATGAGTCATCCAAAGGGGAGATGGGCCTAGGTGTCTAGAAAGCGGATTTCTACAAAGCCAAGTATTGGCTACTATTTCATGTGGATTTTAAAATGCCCAATAGTGATCAGGAAACTTAGATGTTGAGTAATTAGAAAAAAACAGTATTTGTTTCTCCATTGGTGGAATGTTTTCCCTTCTATCCATGTAACAAATGTCTCTGTAGCAAAAACCCCCTCCTCTGGCCCCTCCTAGTCCAGATGCAGCTTTGTTCAGACCCAGGCCAGAGCCTACGTGGTCATGTCATTGTGGGATGAGGAACCCAGTGATTCTAGGTTAAAAAAAAAAAATTGAGATTCTCCTAACATTTTGTAAACTCTTTATCAGAATATTCACTAATATTAGGCATAATATTGCAGTTATGAAAGAAAACCCATTCTATTATCATTTGCAAGTCAGGGACAGGTAAGATTTGTTGAAATCCATCCCCATGAGCACTTGAAGGCAGTGACTGTGATGACAGTGTGGTGCATCGACTACAGTGCCTGATTTCAGTGACAGCTAAGTGTGTGCTAAGTCTGGGGTGGGGGTTTTGTTTTTTAATCTGAAATACTCACTGATCTTATTTTCTTTAAATTCTGATGGTCACTCTCCTTCATCCTCATATAAGTGAGTAAAGAGGGTCATTCCTAGGCCCTCCCGGGTCAGCAGACCTGGGGCAAAAGCCCAGGGTCCCTTGCAGCAACACCCAGGCCACCATGACCTCTGCTTTCATAGAAATTAACCTTAGTCCAGTTTCTTTGGTTTCCTGAAACAGGGATGTTACTTATGGGCCACTTTGCCCTGAGGTAAAGAAATTCCAGAGTTTATGTGCAGTTCTTGCAGCTGCCTCTCCGCCTGGGCATTTCTATTCTTGCCCCGTTGGCCTGAGGCTGAATTTGGAAATTCTGCCCCATGGGATTAACTTCAGGTGGTGGCTGCTCTTACCTGCTACCTCTGAAACAGGAAGCAATGAAGCAACTGTCTGTCTGAAAGTTAATTTCCACGTCAGTGCTCTTTTCTTTTGTGCAAAACCTTTTCCATGATTTACTTTCCTCTAGCTGGTCCCCTGCCCACCACAGGAGATGATCCCTCTGTTTTATTTCCCAGGCCCTTTGGAAGCCACCATCAAATACTCCCTAATATCAGACAGCAAGTGATGTAAAGCAGCCTGACGCGGATTATTTCTCCCACGTAGAAATGGTTACCGAGTATTCGAACCACTTTCTACATCTCACGTTGTTAAATAGACAACATAATGCACTTGCTGTTTCATCTTGCCTCTCACAAATTCATCTCCTTTGTTCATATACAGCAAATTACTAATTGTTTTAACAGCTACTATTTCACTTTAGTATTTTCCCAAGTCTGGAATCTTGCGGTCTGAAGTTTTGAAATCTATACAGTTCATCAGTTCTCAAGCCCCTCCCCACTACACTAGCTATTAACTCTGCCTCTTCCCTCCTTACCCTTACTGTACCCAGGAACCGATGGGAGGCGAGGAGAAGCCATCTAGTGTCATTTTCTGCCTCACCAGTAGGGAGTACTGCTGTGCAGGGTAACTGCCTGGCCCGCTCCCTTCCTCACCCCCTAGGAGATCATGCACTACCTCTGTCGACTTCTGGCTTTGGGGTACATCATAAGTCATGTCAAAACTGCCAATTTCAGGCCTCCACTTTGTACTTTAGATTTTAAAATGGGGAAGAAAATGTGATATACTTTGGACCACATTTTTTAATTTATCTAAGCCTTAAGGAACAGCGTATGCACCTGCACATGCACCCACCTCCCACCCAGTGCGTCAGAGACTGAGCTGCAGCATTAGGACAGGGACTGACACCATAATGTTTTACGGAAAAGGACAGCTTTCTGTTGACGTGAAATTTTCCAGGAAAGCCTCTCTCCGGACACCTGTCCTTCGTTCAAGATGTTACATGCCAAGTGATACGTGCTTCAAACCTATGTCTTTTTGCCTGTTGGTTTTCTTTGTAAGGAGTAACAATAGGATTAGAAAGTATTTGGTTACAGACTTCTGTGTATTACATTCTCCACTTTGAAGAAGTGCATTGAAGCCTTTGTCACACCCAGACCCTTGTCTGCTGTCATCTGTGTACCATACAAGCCCCTCCCTCTGACCCATTTCACCTGGATGTTCAGGGTTTCCCTCATGTTAACTTGAGTAACTTTGTTCTTCCTTTACTGCTACGTATGTGTATACATGCACACATACGTACATATGCTGTCCAAATATATGTATATATTTGTATAGCATTTTTACACCTTTCTTGAGTAATCTGGTTTCAAATGGGAGTGTGAGCTTAGTCCCTCCTACAGTTTTCTGCGAGCTTTGTCCTAAGAATTCTGGTCCTCAGAGTCCAAGAGAACCCCAAGAAGATGATGTTAATTTGCTGCCATCTCTTAATTGAGGATCTATACTCAATGGAACATGAGAAAGAAAAACAGTGACTTTTAAGGTGGAAAGAGTTTCAAGCATTCCAAATGAATGATCAATGTTTCATAACTTTTTATTATAAAGCCACTTCCTAATAAAAAGTCAAGTACTATTTGATACAATGATTAAAAACCAAACTGCTTTGAAATTTTTTAGACAACTTAAGGATAATGCTCATTTTCACAATAAGACTAGCTTTCAAATATGGTTGAATTTGATACACAGGAAAAAGTTTTGTTTAAGAACTCCTTTTTGCTTTTCATTTTTCTTAAGAGATCTAAGACAAATTGTCGATTGTTTTCCTGACAGCAAAAGAGTAAAAATGTCACGAAATGAAGTCATTGTAAAGAAGTGATGCAACTTGTCAAATATTTAATAAAGATTATGGACGCTGGAACATTTTCTACATCGAGTATGATGGGTTGTCTGATTTAAAACTTCATGATGCATCATCTTAATTGTTTCCGTGGTTTAAATGCTTGCAGATTTATAGTATCTCCCTAAACGTTCCATGCTTTTAAAAACATGATTAAAATCTAGACAAAACATATGGCTTATGCTTACGGGGATGCACATATATTCTCATCCATCTGTCTTGAGAAAGACTGTGTAACACTAGGTTAATCCGTGGGCCCTTCCCTGAAAGCCAGACGTCACCTCTGCTGCTTATCCAACCAGCCCTGGATTTATGTGAGTGAAAGAGATGCAGAAATGAAGGCCAGGGTGGTTTTTGGGAAGAGGACACTGTCAAAATCCAGATTCAAACTAGACTCCTGGAAATTTTCCTTTTTCTTTAGTACTAAGCCTCCTCTTGACCTTGATCTGCCCTTCAGTTGGGGTAGGGAGGCAGATGGGATTTGGGCACAGGCGGTGTGGTGGAGGGTGAGTAGAACATGGCAAAAATGTAACCCCCAAAATTAAAGCCTGCCCCCTCGGGGATAGCCAACAGGTAACTTCCACACAGGACATAAGCCAGTCCTTGTTTCTTGCCTCTTTTTAATTATCAGTAATATATGATAGTGTCTTGCTGGGAAGGTGTCAGTCACTTTCTGAGTTCCAGCACCTCCTCCAGGCTGCTCTCCTGGCTTATACTACATATGAGGGAGGAGGTTTCTGGGACAGAGCTGCTCTGAGGTTTTATATGTTCATTCTCAGAGAAACACAACTACATAAAATGCAGGAAAAAAATACACATCAGTTACACTGTTGCTAGCTTGATAAGCTCTTTACCTGCTCTTGAAGTCCAAGAGCAACCTGGGTAGTTCTGAAAATGTAAAACCTCTCAAGTATGGGTGGGTGTGGTTATCCAAAAATTCTAGTTCCCAGGATTGGCTGTGAAGGCCCCTTTTGAATCCCTTGACTCCCTCACCTAGGAGAGAACACTACTCAAAACAGTTTCCAGAAAACTCAGCTGTGCAATCTCCAAGCAAGCACTTGTAGGACTGGAAGAGAAAGACATGGTGATGGCAAGCTTGCTTAAAACCCAGCACGGTTTCCATGACCAGGTTACAGGACTGTCACGGGGCGAGCACAATTTTGGGGGTGGGAAGGGCTGAAACCAGGCTGAACTGGGAAAAGGTTAATTACCCCCAATCAGCCTTTTCCTGTCCCTTTGCAATGCCCTACTCCTTCCCCAAAGTGCCCCCTGCCAACAGTGGCCACCTGCCCTGCCCCCTACAAATTCCAAGCTGGCCTGGGCATCTGTTCTAACTTCCTCCCCTTGGCCACATGCCCTGAAAACTTGCTGCCTCAGGAGCATGCCCTTCTCCTGCAGTCCTGCTGCCGTGCTGTGTGGCTTCTGCTGAAAGGGGGTCCAGCACAGAGTGGGCTGACCTAGGGCTGGGGGGAGACTGAGATAATCCAAGGGTGAAGATTCTGTTACATTAAAGAATCAAACTTGAGTCATGGGGCTCACCAAACTTGAGTCATGCCCTCACGGAATGACCCAGAGGGCTTCATCTGTGAGCCTGGGTTCTTGCCCTTGATCACTGCCTATGTGTCCCAGGCTGTGCCCTCAGGAGTAATCCTTGGTGAGATGCTGCAAGGCCCTCATGCTCTGCTGCTCCACGAAGTCATTCAGGAACCCAGGCACCTCCTAGGCTGGCTCCACCATCCCCTGGGACAAGATCCTCTGGTGGGCGGAGTGATGTGGAAGACTAGACCAAGTCTGGGGGGGGGCAGGTAAGCATCCCCTCTTTCCACCTTCCCCTGGGAACATCAGTCACAGTCACTCCCATGGCAGACTCAGCACCAGAGAAAAAGGGAAGGAATTTGGGAAATGCGGCCAAACTCCGCCATAAGGGGTCATCTTTAGCCTTCAGCAGAATTTGCAGATTTGCCCTTGGGACGGTGGCCTGCTGCCATCTGAGAAACCTCTGTGGTCTTCAGTGTACTCAGAACACTACTAGTAGTACTTATCGTAAGTTTCCACATTCGCCTAATGAAGTAGCTGTTATTAGTCCCAATTAGCATGTGAGGAAACAGACCGGATGGATAAGACTTAGTGATGATCTGAACCCAGGTTTTCTGGCTTAAAACCACCAATCACTACACTCTTCTCCCCATTTACCTTCCCCGCCACCAAACCTCCTCTCTAAGGGAACAGCCAATATACCCATTTATACTAAACTGTGAATGACTGATAGACTAAAACATGACCCCTTCTGGAGTGTTTTATTTTAACAAACTCCAAAGGTGAAGCTTGGCTTACACCAAAAGAAATAAAGGTGGAGACTGTGGCATTTAGCGATCAACAAACTGAATGGGGGATGGTTTTGGAGGGCAGGGGACCTGCTTCAGGCCACAAAATCCAATGTGTGTAAAGAATACCCTCCTGAAAAGACAGCCCATTCTTAGGGATAGCCCCAGCCCGAGGCCCTCACTGGAAGCCACGCTGCCTCTCCTCTGGGCTGCAGGCAGAGTTCTCTCCATCCTGACAAGTAAGTCCTCTTTTCCAGAGAACTGCAGGACAACTCTAAGACGCCTTTGTCCACCAGAGTTGAAGCACCAGTAGGACCAGACACTGAACACTGGATCCCTCCCCCCACCTGGAACTATCTGATGGAGCTCCAGGATGTTGCATTTTGTAAAGTTTGCATTTGACAAGGTCCTTTAGATATTAACTTATACGTAATATTATTTGAGGCAGAACGTTTGCTTTAGGGTTTATCTCTTGAATTCTAGTTACTCAGCTCTCTTGCAAATCCTAAGACCTCCTCTGCAAGGGGGTCTCTTCACTCCCTCTTACTCCTTCTCCTAACCCACCCCACCCCCCAGGCCTTCTCTGTGGTCTATATTTGCTTAGAAGATCCTGGCTTGCTCAAGTGTTGAGATGATGAGGGGACATTGCCTCCCCAACATAATACGCGTTTAAACAAAAGTCAGGTCTTTGAACCCTAGTCTCCAGTTAAAAAGTAACAGATTGGAAATAGGATCAATAGGAGGCAAATATTAGCTGTGGGCTGGAGGGACACAGCATTGGGAAATAGCATCGCTGGGGACAAGAACAGAGCAATGGTCAGACCCGTCTTGGGGGTCCAGGAACTCCAAGGACCCAGTGACCTCGGGCCACTTTCTTGCAAGTTGAAGCTCTCGACCAGTTGAATGTCGAAGCCCCCAGCCACCGAGTTAGCATCTACAATTTCCTTGGTAGGGCGCTTGTAAGAGCCTCCTAAAGGCCGAGTCCACTTTGTCTCTCCCTTCCCAGCCCTCCTCCTCACCTGTTGAACTGCCTCCCACTAAGCTCTGATCAAATCATTCTGCTGTTTACAAGATTTCCACAGCTTTCCGTTGCACTCCCACCTGGCGCTCAAGGCCACCTGGGCTATGTGGGCAATAGTGTAGCAGATCCCAGGGGTAAGGACAGCTAAACCATCTCCTTGCCTGCATCCTCCCCCTCATTGTGCAGTATTGGATGTCATCTACCATTTCTTTTTTCTTGAAATTCTGTCTTTGGTTTCCATGCCATTTCAACTCCTGGTTATTTTCTCCCTTTTGAACTACTGGTTTCTCTCCTTCCCTAAATGTAGGTGTTCCCCAATAATTCATTCTTGGTTCTCTCTCCTCCTCCTCTTGTGACTTAAAGTCATCACCTCAATGTGGTAAATTATCAAATCTACCTCAATCCCCAGCCTCTCAAAAAGCCCTCGACCCTCCTATCTAAAATCTTGACACACGTTGTGTCAGGACGATGTCAAACCCCTCCAACTCAAAACATCCCAAGCTAAAGTCCCTCTACTTCCAGACTTCTCCTGCCAGTTGCTAAATTTCCAAGAGCTGTCTGTTAGTCTCTTCCAAGTGTCTACACTGGAAAGTCATCTCTGACCTTTTTTTTTATTATTTATCCATTTATTTATACAAGAACCGGGGTACAGGCCAGATGCGCGGGAGGGAGAGAGGATTCACCAGAGACAGAGCAGGGAACAGAACAGGCAGACTGACGAAATACACTGCTGAGGGGAGCAGCAGGCAAGACAGGAGAGGTCTGCTGCGCCATGTGGGACCCTCGCCGGCTAGCCGGAATCACAGCACGGCGCTCAACCGCCTGAGCCACCAGGGGAGGCCCCTCTCTGAACTTTTACCCAGTTTTGCTCCCCAAGTCCACAGAGTGTTCAGTTTTCTCTTTGCTCATTCCTTCCATGCATGCTCTGAGTGTCCACCATGAGCCACACACATACAGGTGCTGAGCACACGCAAGTCAAAACAAAACAAACAGCAAAGATCCTTCCATCATGAAATTGTATTGTAGTGGTGGCCGAGAGACAATACAATTACAGCAGGTGATATGTAGGTTGTGTTAAATGTTGATGCTGCCAAGGAAAGAAAACTAGCAGAGGTGGTGGGGAGGGAGTGCAAATCTAAGGTGGGGGGAGTCAGCATAAAGATTTGAAGATGAGAGAGTGGCCATGGGCTCCTTGGGGAAGATCAGAGGACAGAGAACAGCAAATCCAAAGACTCTAAGTGGTTTTGGAAAACAGGTCAAGGCCCTTTGGGAATACACTAATTTTGAATCAATGTGGACATCGGGTGAGAGGTTAAGTAGGAAGGTGAACACAGAAGTTCAGCTGAAATCCAGACTGGAGACATGCACCTCAGTGCCACTAGCACGTTGTTGCCACTTAAAACTCAGAGACTGGAAAGGCAGGGCCCAAGGACTGGGAGGTGAGATGGGCCAGGAAAGCAGAAGAGGCCCAGGGGTGGAGGAAAGCCGGGGCGGGTGCTGCAGAGCCTGGGAAAGAGGGTTTATTTGGAAGGCGGGGAGACCAGGCAGGCCAAACATGGTTGGTAGGTCAGTAAGACGAGGACTGAGAAGTGGCCACAGGAATTAGCACTATGGAACTTACTGGGGACTTCAGAGGAGGGGGCTGGGTGGAATTGAGGGGGCAGGCAGAGGGGGAGGGGTTGATCACAGCTTTCAGGGGCTTCCCTACTG